AAGTAATTTCAATGAAAAAGTTGTTAATTACGTCGCATAATTGGTGGTGCAGCCGCGCAGTATCACATTGCTTAAGTAAATCTGTTCGCGCTCGTTTATGTCCGGCAGCCACTCAATTAGTTTGTTGACAACTTCTGGTAGTACGAGTAAATGGTTCTGCTCATTATAGGCCATATTGAAGCATGCGTCCAAGAGTGTGTCGTTAGGCACGGCTAAGGCTTTTAAGCTTTTGAAAAATTTCTCTATTTTATCGTACACACGCAAATGTTCTGCAATGCTGGGCGAATTGCGTGTAATTACCGCTAACGCTTTGGTGGTGGCGCACAGCACTGGCGCATAGTTCATATTCCAACCCTTTGTGAGCGCAGCATATACAAATTATTTACAAATTTCATTATTGGAAAATTTTATGTTAGCAGTTAGTAGCTCACCTTTATTTGCTTTGGAATGCTTATTAAAGTATCTACCAGCGCCGTATCGCCAATAGCCTCACAGATAACTTGCGCCTTTACCACATCGGCGAGGAAGAGGCAAACATTCTCGACAGTCGCTGCCAGCGCATTCACATCCACAATCACATCGCTGGCCTCATCATCACTAGCGATTTCAAATGTTACGCTATTGCCACTGAGAAAGTGATCAGTGGTTAATAGGGTTTGCAGAGCATCACAGTAAAGCTGAATTAGCGTAACTAAATCGATTTGGCGCTAGAAAAAGCAAAACCCAAAAACATATTATTAATTTTATAAATTTTAATTACTTGTTGTACTGTTACTCACTTCTTCAGGACTAGATTTTTGTAATACAACAATCATAAGAGCACAGCATTTTAGCGCAACGGCGCGTAGCTCACTGGCGCTTTCCCACTGTGAAATAATCTTCATAATGACTGAAACGGTTGCGGGGCAAATGGCGCGCATACCATTACGCTGTGGCCGCCGATGCGAAGTTGGATTGAATGGATTGGAGATTAGGAAAAATTATGAAATCTTATTTTTGTGGAAAAAATTATTTTATAAAATCATTTGTTTACAATTATAGCAACAAACAGAAATAAGAAAGTGTAAATCACAGTTTAAATTAATTAAATAAACATTTAAACCAAAGTTTTTAGTATTGAGAGCAAAGCAGTCGTTCATTTTTTAAATTTGTAAAATTGAGCTTAAAACAAAAAAAAAAAAAAAACTGACTCATTGAAGGAAAACAAAATATTTTACAACAAAAATATTTTGTTTTTGTTTTCAAAAGACCGCAATGTTGAAATCAACACTGTTAAACCCGCTTTGCTCTCTAAACCCACCACAATAAAATTTTGAAAGAACAATAATTACTGTTAACAACTGTTTAGCACCGTTTTTAGCACAAAACACCAAATAAAATACAATCTAACAGTACAAGCGATAAAAGTGTCTAGCAAATAGAAAAAAAAATAATAATTCCAAAACAAATTCATTTACAACTGACATTTAATTACGCTGGTTTTACCACTCACCAAATTATCACAGATTTCTTGCCCTTCACCACAATTTGCTGTACTTTTAGTTGTCAGAGATGTTAGCGATTTCTGCAAGTGTGTGTTTGTACAGAATTTGCTTTCGTTTTATAACGAGTACAAAGGATTTTGGTAATTCAAGTAGTTAAGTTGCAACAAAAGCACATCACAATAAAATTATATATGAAATAAGGAAAATGTAACATTTACAATGTATGAGGTTATGTTGAAAATTATAGAATGAAAGTAGGATTAATGTTAAATGGCAGTAAAGAACCGAAGCAGCTTAAAGAAATATGCATAAATACAAATATTATATATGTAGGTATACATACATATATACTAAAAAATTTCAAAAATAAAAGCCTGATTGTAAAGCATCTAATTTTTATCTTATATGTTACTAAGCATTCAAGAGCTTTTCAACACACTGAAATGCGCCAAATTTAAGTGCATCTGATCTTTATGCATATTGCAAAATATACTTTTGGACAATGAAAAAAGATATATACACATATATATATATATTTTAAAAGCGTTAAGATTTAAAAGTATAAACGCACAAATATACATACATGTACATGTGTACATAAACATATTAGAATTGTGAATAAAGCACACTTTCATAATAAAATTTAGGCGCACAAAGTGATCAAAACATATGTTGCAACATATCGAACTACCTGAGATCCACATATAACAGCACCCAAAGCATTCACCAGGCATTCCCCAATAGCAGGAAATTTTGTAAGCTCTTCCCTTTGGAAGCAATCTGCAAAAACATAATTTTTTAAATTATTCTTTATAAAAATAGTATTCAACATTTTACTTACCATAAATAAACGGCACAATTTCCACATGCACTGTATGCGGTTTATAAGGTATTTTGTGAAAATCTGCATAGGCGCCGCGTAAAAAGCTACGCCAAGTCAAATAAGGGTCATACATAACTTCAAGAAATTGAGAGAAACTACGAAATAGATGCACTACTTCCAAAGATACATCCTGGCGGGTCATGCACTAAAAAAATAAACGAAAGTTTATATGAAATATGTCTTTAATAAAATAAACACTTTTTTTAGTATAAGATGTAATTATTATTTAATAAAAGATAATAACTATATGTATTGTAGAAAGAAGTGTCATACTTAATATATTCAAATTGTGTGATGTAGCATAAATGTTTGTACAATACATACAAATATATAAATACTTATAAACAATTGAATTATACTCTATAATTAGCGATTTATTGGCATTGTTTTTAATATTTCTTTGCTTTTAGATTACAAATAATCTTCTTTTTTATATATCATAGACATTGCAAGTTTTTGCTTATCTTTCACAGTTATTGAATTCTAATTGAACTTGTTATTGCTCATGCTTATCAAATCTTCTTTGATATACTTTATTGGTTTATGGTTAAAGAAAACGTTAGTAAATACCAGTAAGTTTGTTTCTTTGCTGCTATAGAATTTTATCAATTTTTTAGGTATTGTTTTTTTGTATATAATGCATATAGTATAATTTACCTCTTTGAATGTATTGGCCAAAATAGCAATTAAATTCGATTTATATTCATATTTAATAATTGCCAAAATATTATCAAAGTGTCGACAAATTATCACCAAGCAATCTACCAGTACAGCGATCTGACGTATCTGCTCATCGTCAAGTGTGCCCTGAAAAATAGTAAACAGCGGGAACCATTAACTTCCGACAACTAATCACTAAATTACAATGTTTTTTCACATACATTTTCACTGGTATCGCGAGCAATTATTATGAATTTTCCAATTGCTGGCAGCAGCTCATCCGGCAGACGTCCCAGGTGGGGACCACTATCCGAGCGCACCTCATGCCACAGCGGCAGATCATCACGATCAAAATCCACCGGTAATTGACTCTTCCAAATGCTCACAAAGCGCTCGATAAATTCGCGAAAATAAGATTCATCATTCTGTTTTCATGCCCAAACAATAACAACCGGAAAATGGGAAAATACAAGAGAAACAGAGAGGTATTATTCAAAATGAGAGCAATTTTGGCATTAAATGAGCAAATGCTTGCAAAATCACAGAGAGCAGCAAGCGTTTATTTATTTTGAGGGTGGGCTGTGTCGGCACTATTGTAATTCAATCTGAGCCGCAATATTTTGCTAAGTGGGGCGGTTAGGTGGTTTTGTTATCAGTATGTAAATTATTATATGTTTATCTGGGTAATATCCGCAGTCTTACATAATCCTCCAGAAAAAAGAAACAATGTGTACATATAGATATACAAGTAAAACTGACAATACAAAATAAAACGAAAAATTAGTCTATAAAGCACTGAAGTGTTTATACATATTTGTTTATCTTCGAATTACAAGGCAAGCGTTCTAACTTATTGGAATTGGATAGAATTTCATTTTATTTTTTCATTGTTTACTGAGCACGCAATCCAATAAAGACGAATTTGTAACGAAAACCCCCTTTTAGAAATAGGATAACAATCGTTGAAAATTGATGATTAATGCTTCAAACACGCCCATTAATAATACACAACTACAGGTGACATTTGTACGTAATTTTCACTTTCCAATTAGAAACACTGCTCATAATGCTTTAATGCATTTTTTAACATTTTTTTACTCGCCTTAGTCGTATACTGCACCCATAGATTGTAAATATCCTTTTTATTATCCATTATGCGACACTTTTCACAAAATTGTTGTTGCACTCATTTAAACAAAACTTGTTCAAACATTTGCTATTATTTGTTTACAAGACAACACTAAAATTTATAAATTTTTCACCGGAATAAAAAACACAACTATAAGACCATAGAATAACCAAACACAAATGGAATGAAGAGAAAAATCAAGAATTGCATTGCAATGATAAATTCACCACGTGGTGGCAATATGCAAATGTCAAATATCATTTTCCTAGTGTTGGCACTTTTAGAAGAAATGCAATTGTGTTAACAATTATTTAATATTGATATATTTATGATTTATCTGCATTAACAAATATATTAGGCTTGCAATCATTGTTGGCTAAATGACGAATTTTCACCACGCTGGTTTTGTGTGCAACAAATTTATTGATTGGTGTGTTTTTGTTGTTAATGAAAACGCAAAGCGAATTCACAGTAGTTTAAGGCGAATTCGTGTGTCAAAAGAGCAGCTGATTGCTTGTTCTTTTAAGGTCTTATAAGAATTTGTTTTAAAGAATACAATATTTTTAACTTCGTTAAGTCGTGGATATTGTTATGATTCACTGATTTAATTTAACGCATAAGAATGTCATAGATAGAATCATACATGCCAAATTCAACAATTTTTCGACGCCCAATTATTGAAATGTTGTGCGATTCAGAGTAAAATTATATTTGCGAGATTTGTAAATTTTTTTCAGAGCAGACTAACAATGCTATAACGCACTTCCTTTCTATAGTACACCTGATCGGAAAGAGATTTTATTTTCTATCTCTTTGAAAGATATTTTACCAATTATATCTGTATTTTTACGTACAGTATATCAACCAGAGATAGAATTCAACGATATGACACTGTCAAAACATGGGAATTTTTGGAGCTTTTACTTTTTGTAACATTTAAAAAAGAGTTTATTCTTTGAGTACAATTTGGGTAGGTGGGTTTATAAAATATAATTTATTGAGCTTGACTTATAAGACTAAGTAATCAATTTATATTTTGTTCTGTTTATTATATTTTGTATACACAACTACATAAACTGACATCTACAAAATATTATTAATATAAGTTAATCAGTGATTAAGAATCGCCTTCCGTCTTCATTGTTATTAGAACGGTGAAGAGTGAATAAGTGCAGCGCACCATTGTTAGGAAAAACTCCATATTAATAGGTTTTAAGCCACCAGCAGTGAGCTTAAGGAAATACATATACATAAATATATATAATAATTTATGCGTTATAGTAATAATAATAAGATATAAAATAAATAATTATTTACTATTTTGCATAACAAACCTGCAATGGTCTCTGACTGATAATGATAATTAGTGGAATGTATTTACGAAATTCCTTGTTACGGTCTTCCCAATTACAATTGTAGGCCGCATTAGCTATTTTTTCACTCTGGTAATTAGAAAGTTATATATTTATTTTTTATACTGTAATGTATTTGCGGAATATACTCCCATATCACCTCGCAACAGAAATTATTGGCCACCCAGAAGATAATGAATGTCGAAATCATAACCATAAGAGACAGCTGAATGTCGGCAATCAACAGTGACATATCGTGGTCCTGCAAGTGGAAGATATGCAAAGTAAATATGGTAAAACAAATTCGGCGATATAAGATCAATTTAAATTTGAAAATGTAACAGAAAAAAATTGCTCGGTTGCCACTCACCATTGTTGAAAAAACAATTATGACACAAGGTATTATACCGAAAATGCAAACATCGGCAGAGCTTCCAACTGAAAATAATACTTCCAGATCATTGTGATACCTATAATATAGCATTCTAAATGAATTGTTAAGAAGCTTTGAATTTTTACTTGTTAAAAAATAAAAAAAAATAAAATGAAATAAATAAAACTAAAAACTGAAAACCCTTACTTTATAATCATAATATGATCTTTAACGCATTTATTAATACATTCCAATGCTTCGACGTCGGTCATATCGTTCATACTTTCCAATTTGCTCTGCAGATCTTTCATCAAGAATATGCCAAAGGCAATGGCTATTAAAAACAAGCAAAAATATGAGACATACGAAAAAAGTGTAATTGGCGCAATACATAAGCTTTGCATAATGGACATTATTTCCCAAAATGGACTTTTATACAAATCGATACCCGGGAACGCGACATCCACGAGTAATTCTAAATAGAAAAAATAAAAAAATTAATAATATTTTATGCATAAACTAGGGTGGCTATAGAAAATATATACAGTTTTCGTAAATCTCAACTGCTATATCGTTACTTCTACTATAGTCTAAGAAATGACATATTAATTTTGGTCCTTTGTGTATACCCCGCCCGAACAGGTCAAACGTCAGAGGAAAATTTCCACTGTATTTGAGTGGTAATTTCGAAAGAGTTAATTAAACAGTGCTTGAAAATCGTTGAGTTGGCATCAGAGAGATACCAGAGGTTCTCTACATATGTAATGGATCAACTCAACACAATTTGGTTAATGTTTTGTCATGTTGTAATGTAATGTAAGAAGCGTGTCAATGCTAAACTAAACGACGTTCGTCGAGTAGGGGTCGCAAAAGATTTGTAGTAAAATACGGGAATATGTCGTTTTTTTTTTGTGCGGGTCAAAATTGAACAGATGGTTTTTAGACGTTAACGTTATCCGTCATATCGACCGAAAAGGGTGAGAATAAAAAATGTCGTTCAATCGATTTTTATGACCAACCTAACTTACATATTAATACTTACTTTTATATCCAACACCAACTGTTGCTAACAACTGTATAAAGATAACGTAAAATAGTGTAATACTCGTGAGTATTAATACCGTTTTTGTAGCCTTTTTGATCTTTCGAGTATATTCGTGCGCTTTATTCAATGTAATTTCATTACCTTCGCACTGAAAGTATAAATTAAATAGAAAAGTAAGTAATAGAAAAGTAAGTAATAGATGAACATAAAATTTGACTTCATCTGTTTGCAAAAAGCACCTGCAGCTCTTGGTACCATTTATCAATACTTTCGAAAAAGTTCAAGAACTTCTGCGCCTTATACATCACAATAAAGGTGCGAGCTGTCGTTACAGTAGCACCGGATATTTTAAATAAATTCACAATAACTTCATCGAAATCATTCCGAATGACGTAAGTGCGATAATATGCCGTCAGACATAAAAATATTGGAGATATAAGGAAAAGGCCTGCGAGACGATGCTGATCAAAATAGCCAACGCGCCTCATAAACGCCAAACTCCAATTAAACAGTTCACCACAGTAGTGCATTTTATGCAAAAAAAAACAAAATGATGTAAACGTTCTGAGTTCGAAAAATTCGTGATAACCGTTTGAGGTTACTCGTTGACTGTAGCTTCCTTTATATATGCTCGGACCATTGCCAAATCGTTGGGGGTGTGGTTTTCGCATTTTTAATTTTTAATAAATGCAAATTACTGTTAGATTTATGTGAATGTGTGAAATCTGGAAACCTTCGCATCAAAATTAAGTGCTATTTGTAACCTACAATCACATCCGGTTGATTTTCTTGCTGTGAAAAAATAGCAAATAATTATTACGTTCATAATTATTGGGGACAATATTTTCATAAAAGTTTGTGGGAATTCCTTTTAAAAATAATTGTTTTTAATTTTTCTAAAAATCTTTTTTTTAGTTGATAATAATTGGATACCATTTATTAGCGGTCACAGAAATCTCAATTCGAACTTGTCATTTACTATTTTTCGCAGTTACTCAATAACGGTAGAAATAGAGTTAATAAATCAAGAATGGTTTTCTTATTGCAAACGATTGATAGTTAGTCAAGTTTCTGCTGGAAGAGCATTTTTAAAACAAAAAAACTAACAGAAGTTATCCAAAAGTCTAACAGCCGATGCGAACACTTAGCTCTGCGTCCGATGGCACCACTATTGCAATAGAAATTTCAACGTGCTCACACGTCGGTTTTTGATGCGCCATGCCCAGGCGTCCCTATAATGGTTGAAACGGAGGATAACATGACAGAAGTCAACGACCTTCTATTAGCAAATCGCTAACTGTTTATGCGTGAGATAGCTCAGAAAGTAGACATCTCAAAAGCTCTGCATGATATACTTGGCATGGCAAAGCTGTTGATGTTAGGGGTTCCACAGCAGTGACGCCTTTTAAGTGTAATTCGAAGAAGTTTCTGGGACGTTTCGTGACCGGTCGGTCGGTTGGGATGGCCGTCAGAGCTTTCATTGAATTTTGTGACTAATGATGCGTTTAATGATGCACAGTCCTCGTCTCTGTTGTCAAGTATCTTTCTTGCGACCTCTACTGGACGTCGTTTTCCCAAAAGATACAGGTCTTTTGGTACGAGTTAATTATACCTTAACCAAATGTGGTGAGTCGATTCAATAACTGTTTCTTTATCTTTTCTGATGTTATCGTGATTAACAGCGGTGGAAGAACGACTTGGGAAACTTTTCACGTCCTAAACCAACAACTGCCAACTACACCCTAATTGCCATATGGAATTCAAACTTTACGCGACAAGTGAAAGAGTTGTACAAATCTAGGAATTGGTACTTCGATTTGGGCGCACAGTTTAAATGAACCAGTCCGGGTTAGAGTTAATTAGATAATTGATTGATGATGACTTTACATTGGACGTCGTTTAGTGGGTATTCTTCAGCCACTCATCTACCATATAAGAAATTTGATTCGTGTTCTAGACTTGTTAAAAAAACAATTTATGAAAAAAAATCAATTTTTTTAACCCATCAGATGAGATGATGATGAAGAAAAGCGGTTTCAAAAATTCTTAATTCACCAAACCTCCGTTTATGAATAGAAAAACTATTGATAGGCTTCTAAATGCGTTGATTTTTATTTTTAATTTTATATTGTTTGATTTCTCACCTTTTATTGTTTCAATTCTAGTAGCATTACAATATTATACTTTAATAGTTAATTAATAATTTTCATTTAAAAATGTTGCACTTTTATGCCGCAAGTAATTTACTGTATTTATTTTTTAGGCGCTTTTCGCTTATTAGAATCTTTGTTAAATATTTTTTCAATTAATTAATCTTTCTTCATAATTTAGATGTGCAAATGCAAATGCGCTTAACATATATGTATGTATATAGAATAGTTGTAAAAAAAGGAAATCACCGCGTATTTTTCACTGTTGTGTTGGTTTTTGCTTAATTTTTTTATTTTATTTTATTTTTATTTTTATTTATTTTTTTTTTTTCAGTATTTAATAAGTATGAGTACCTATTTTTCTAAGAGAATTAATTTGTGAGGCTTAATGCTTTGCTCAGCTTAGCAGTTAATATATAAGAGTAGGCTTTAAATTTTATTTTAATTTAATGCTAAAGAAAGTTTTTGTTTTTATTTTTTTGCTTTTTTAAGTTTTTTAATGCGTATTTTTTATTTTAACTTGTTAAGCTATTTCTTGCTTTAATTTTTTGAATTTTTTTTAGTTAATATTTTCCTGATTTTTATTTTTAATGTACTTTAAATAATTACTATGTTTATAAATATGAATATGATGTAAGTTTTTTGTAGAAGAAAATATTTTTATATCTTGCTTAGTTTTTTTTTTTTTAATTTTTAATTTTGTTTTACAATTTGTTTAAAGCTGTGAGTTTGCGTACGCATTTACTTATATTAATATGTATATGAATGTATATAATTTATGTTTATATATAAACTAATTTAATTTAAGATAATATCGAGGCCTTCCCTTTAGTTCTTCTAATTTTAGGTAAATAAAATATATTTGATGGTTAGTTTTTGTTGTTTGTTTTGTTTGCTTAATAAATCAATGCTTGTAAGCGAAGAGCGTAAGAGCGCGAGCGAGAGTGTTCTTCAATATTAACTTTTGAAAGTACTTAATGCCATTCGAAATTATTAGAAAAAATATTTTCTTTATTTATTTTACTTTGTTTTACCGTTATGCTTATGTCGCCTATATGTATGTCTAGTTTTTGTTGTTTTTTACTTAGACGCAAATTTAATTACTAATTAATCCATTAAAATTGCAACCGAAATTTTCGCCATCACTCACTTAACTCAGTCCCAAATGAAAACAATTCCGATCCGACCTGGTAAAGCCAAGTCGAGACCTAAACATACAACTCGTTTGCGGAAATGTTCGCTTCGCTTGCCCAGCCTTGGCCCACAACCTCAATATTTGCTCGTAAATGTCCGTTGTTGTTGTTGCTGTTATTATTAATTTGAATACTGGTGTGCATGCATGCATTAGGGTGTGCCTTAGTTGCAAGGAATTTTTCGTTTAAAAAAATTTAAATGCAATGGAACTATTTTAGTGCAGCCTATTTCACTCGATTTTTTTGATTCCAATATTTTGGATTAAAAATTTCAATTTTTACTTCCAATTTTGGGAACACAATTTTTGCGAATTTAGTTTTTACTCCCCAAAAAAAAATTCTGAATTAAAAATTGAGAATATGTTTTTTAATTTAATTGGAGTAACAAATCAAAAAGTTGTTTTCAAATTAAAAACTGAAATGAAAAGCGATTTAAAGGAAGGACTTTTATATTTATATAATTTAAAGCAATTAAATATAAATAAGAAAGAAAGAGCTAAGCTATGGCTAAATTTTATTAAAAATAAGCTTTTCTTTGCGAAAGATAACTAAAATGGTAGATTGCGAACGCAAATAAATGTAAATTCTAAAAAAATTCTTTTTTAAATTCTTTATTATAACTTTGGTATTAATTTTTGTTTTTATTTCATTATTTGGGATTAAAAATTAGAAAATTATTTTTAATTAAGATTTTCGGGATTGTAAAATAAAAAAAACATTATTTAAATGTGTATTTAATTATTTTTTTTAATGGAATTATTTTCAACCTTGCTTATACCGAAAACTTTTTAAATTACTTTTGTAAATTTCAGTCAAATATTAAATTAAATTAAATTAACTTTCGAATCAAGTTGTAGAAAAGGGCTCCGATTTTTGCTATACGAATGCATTACTTATACGAAACTAAATGAAAATATCATTAAAAAAATAGTTTGACATACATTTTCTATCACTGCTGAAGATATAATTAGGTCCAAAGAGATGTTTTTAACTTCTATTAATTAGAACATAACCTCTAATTTACATTTAATATTAACTATAGCTATCTGGAGTATCTTTGAAATACTCGTGTCATCAATAAAATAAAAAAGTTTACACATTATAGAACAAAAAATTTTAAAAATCTTGTACGTGACCTAAAATCTATAAAAATCACAAAACTAAGGCACACTCTAGCATACACACTTGGATTGGCTTCTTTGTTAGCTCGGCCGATTTATTGCGCATCAAATGCCCGTGTGACGCTTTGCGATTTTGCTTTACAATTCAATTTCGATATTTGTGTAAAAGTGGCTAGCTAAATAACATTTATTATTTTTTTTAAGAGTTAGACTAATGTTGCTTAATTCATTCTGCTTACACGCTAATATTATTTACTATTCAATTTAATTTTTTCCTTCGAGATTCATACATTTTAAAGTTGCTAAACATACGTGTGTGTATATAAGTTCGAATGTATGTGTATGTACATGTTCGAATGTATGTGTTTGTTTGCATGCTGTGTGTTCGTTTATGGGGTTATATGCGTGAGTTTCAAAATATCGATTTTTTTGCATATAGTATATCGAATATACATATAAATATTTGAGAATTATTTTCGAAAATTATAAGTTGATCCGGCTAATAGTTTCGGAGACAAGAACTATTTGTAAGCATTCATTAACTTAGTGTAATTGGCCTCCAATCATTGTTTTCGAAACGCTGTTTTCAGCGTGGGTGAGTAAAATTTCTCCGGCTAGACCGATCGGCTTGAAATTTTCACACGACCTTCTTAAATATCTGTCAAGTTATCAAGAAAAATATTTTTTATAATAATTTCGATTTTTGAAGCCACTCTGTAGTGTAAATTTTTTTCACTAGAAGCTACTTTTTTTTTGGAAGTCGCCATTATGTCAAAAATCTAAGTTTTGACAGGTTCTTCGATTAATGCCTGTATTCATCTATTGCAACACTATTTTTTGTTTGGTTTTGGATTTGATATAATTTGAAGCACAAAAATTTTCGTCACCGCCAAACGGTTATTTTCGGCTTCCTGGAGAGTGGCTATAGGACCAAGGAAATCCAAAATTTTTACAAATTAATTCATCTTCGATTATTAAAGTACATTCTACTACAGTAAAGGTACATTTTTTATTTATTTATTAAATTTCTGATTTGCAAGTGTATATAACCCCTTAATGTAAGCATTAGTGTGACTGTCTTCAAGTTGTCTAAATATGCCTCTTTGTAAGGACTGCTATTTAAAAGTAAAACACTAATATATATGTATGTATGTCTTTAAAAATGTATGTGTCTATATGTCTATACGAGTGTGTGTTTGTATGCATATGCATTAGCTAATATATATGTATGTTTATCTGCAGCGTTCGAGTATTAGCATATTTTGTATTGCATTAGTTTGTAGATAAACGCACGCTTCGTAACTGTTTTCAATTCATTAACAAAATTAATTTATTTTTAATAATTCAGTTTAATATCTAAATTTTTATCTGCCATTCGCATATCTAGATTATAAACGCTCTAGTGTGTGTTAAGTCGCTTGTTTGTTTTACAATACAATTACATAAGTATATACTAAATTTAATTATTAAATAGTAAGCAGCGCATAACTACAAGTATATATATATATATATATATGTATTTACATACATGCCTGTGCATGTATGTTTGTATTTTGCTAGTTCCCTTTCTTTTAGTGTGTGTTCACTTAATAATTATTAAATTTATTGCATTGTCTTTTGTGTGAGTTTGCTTGTGCTGCATACTAGAATGTCTAATTTTTATACATACGTACATATGTGATATTAGCTAATTGTTTTTGTTATATTTAGTATCATTTATGGTAATTTCGTACGAGAGCTGAGACTTTTAAAAGCTAAATAGTTGGTGCGCACACATTTCATTGTCCAATGCGAAAACGTACATTATCCATGCCGTGGACTTTGCGTTTTAAACTGCTGCCGTCGGCCCAGGAGGAGTTGAGATACTCGTCGTCATCGTCTTGCTCAAGTTTCTGCAATGAAAAAAATATGAAACAAAACAATAAAAATTAAGAACTCACTAACACAATAATTTTATTTGCTATGTAGAGAATAGAGTACACTGGATAATTTACTTGGGTTTTTCAACATATACTACTATTTGTGTTAGATACATATGTATAAACATAAAAATGAAAGAGCATTTTATTAATTAAGAAAGTTTAATATTCCAAACTGTTCCTGAAACACATATGATCACTTAACGGTTGTTTCTATCACCTGAAACTAATCGAGTTAGATATAGGGTTACATATATAAATGATCAGGATTAATAGACGAGTTGAAATCCGACTGGGTGTCTGTCCGTTCGTCCGTCCGCCCAACTTCGCACCATAGGACAGTTGGTATTGTAGATGGGCCTAATCAGACAATTGCCACAAAATACTATTAAGCGAAAACCAACAAATAGCCATAACTAAGCATAAAATACAAAGTTGTTATTTGGTGTAACGAATCGCATTAGGGAGGGACATTTGCAGTTTTAAATATTTTGAAAAATTGGACGTGGTCCCGCTTTTTAATAGGTTTAATTTACATATCTCCTCTATCTATAAGCTTAAGCTATAATAACCAAATTCACTCAAGACAAATATTTTTTGGACTTCTAAATGAATGAAAAAGGATTATAACCCCATACTCTCCCTATAACGGTTTTGTTAAAAACTACCAAAAGTGCGATAAATCAATAACTAAATGTGTCAGAGACATTAAATTTTATATCCAGGATGGTACAAGGGATCTTATAGGAGTCGATGTTAAAATTAGACGATGGGTGTGACACCGCCCGTTTTATTTCCATATGATTTTTACACTTTCCATTATACCAATCAAGCACCAAAGAATATATCGAGACAAAACTCTGCACAAATATTTGAGGTATACCATTTGAAGTCTTAAAATTGCCAAAATTCGACCATAACTGTCCAAGCCTCTAAGTACCGAATATGTGTACCCCAGTGCCTATAGTTGACTTTTTACCGAAAATATCGGTCAATGTGCGAGATATATAATTGAACTTCAGAGAGAATCCTTTCCTGGTAATAGTGTGTCCGTATGTCGAAAATCGATTAAATCGGTACAATAATTTCCTTACTCCCCATATACCTAATATAAATACCTAATACTTCCCTTAGTCCCCCAATATCTAATTTAGAGATTTTTGAACTTTCGGGTGATTTTATATCGCATATATCGTCCAATATGTAAATTATCTCAATGAAAATGAGAGAACGTATATAGCTGTGTATATTTGTGCCTAAAATGGATAAAATTTGGGCGACAACTTAATCTACAATTGCTCCCATATAACTAATATCAGGATTTTCGAATATCTGGCTGACTTTACACCGTATGATTGGTACCTTAGTGACATGCGGGAAATATAATTTATTGAAATTAAGCGGACAAATTCTTCTATACCTTGGTCTAAACCTCATATCCCTAATATAGTGCATTCCGATCCTCTGGTTGACGTTTTCCACATTAACTCAATATATATTAAATTTAGCCTCTTCGGTAGAGTTGATATCGCATGTATCTCGTTTGAAGATATTTTTAATATAATTTTAGCTGACACGAATTAAAATATAGCAATAAAACTAAATTTGATTGTAATTTTTTCACGATTTCATCGAATATTGGACGTTTAATAATTTCGCAACAAATATTTTTTCATTTTAACGGAATAAAACTCCACTTGCTTCCTGATAAGTGTTAGAAAAGAGTAAATATTAATGTAGGTAAATGGATAGGAATAGGTTACTCATACGATCTGTTCAACTACAGACATTTTCGTTACCTCAAATTTTGCTGTCTCTGGTATTTGATTTTATGCATGGCGGTGCTGGATTTGTTTATAATTGTTGGATAAAATATTTTTTAATTTAAAAATTGGAGTAAGAAAGAAAAAAATTAATTTGTTCTAAACAGACGGATTGAAAAGGGACAAAACAGGAAAGGTTTACATATTTTTATCTGAAAACCTATAATAAAAAGTATTTAAATGTAATTGAGATAAAGGGTGTAAAAAAATATCGAAATTGTAAAATAAGCTTTCCTTTTACAAATATAACCAAAATGGTAGACCACAAAGAACGCAAGAGCGAAATGTTTAACATTCAAATATAAAATTATTTTAATTAAAAACTTGGGATTAAAATTTTTATAACCTGAACAGGGTATATTAGGTTTACCACGATATTTTTAACACCCAAAAAGAAACGTGGGGGACCTTATAAAAAATATATATAAATGATCAGCATGACTAGCTGAGTCGATTTGGCCATGTCTGTTTGTCTATATAGTCCCTCAGTTTTTGAGATTTCGATTTAAAGTTTTGCACGTATCCTTTTCTCCTCAAGAAGCTGCTCATTTGCCGATATCGGGCTACTATAGCATATAGCTGATACGATTGGAACCCAGTGCTTGTATGGAAATCTTTTTTATTTGACAAAATATCTTCACGACATTTGGCATTTTGGTTATTGTCTAAGAAAACGGTTCAATTTCCGAATTCATGTAAGGAATCTTTTATATAGGGTGCAACCGAAATTAACGGGTTTATTTTTTATTTTACAATTCAGTATTTAGGATAAAAATTGTTATGCTTATTCTTTAATCCGACTTTTTCGATTTGATCCAAATAACGAAATTTGAAAAATTAATTTTAATTCAGATTTTCGAGATTTCAAAATAAAAAGTGCTAATGTTGGTGTGCTAATTGCAATCCTGCCTATTGGTCCCAAATATAAATATATTTAAAAATAGTAATCCCCAACGACAATTAGTAAAACATCAAGTAATTAAAAAAAAATTATATTTTACGTTCAATATCCGCTTTTGAAGTATAAACACTGTTAAATACTCTTATGGCTGAAAAATAGTTTCAGCCACAAAAAGTTAAACAATTCAACAGTTACTACTTGAAAGATACCAAAACCTTAGAGAGGATTATGTTTACAGTAATAAGCTTACTAAATTGCTCTATTTGAATACAATTCAACAATCCAATTAGAACAGTATAAATGTGTTTACATTCCACAACTACAACTATTACTAATGTAGTACTACGAATACACAAACACATGAATTTCTAGTTTAATATGGATTGCATTTAGTCAATGTCTAGGATATCGACTCGTTTGTGTCATTTGTTTTCAATACCCATCATTGCTCATTATGGATAAGCAGTGGATGGCAAACAAAAGAAGAGAACCCGTTAGGAAAAACTGAACTATGAGAACTTAGGGACTTGTTTAGCTTTGGCTTAATGAAGGTTAGTTTCTGACTAAATATACATAGCTCGTGAAAAATATATGTATACAAATATGACCGATAGATGCCATTCTTCGCATAAATTATATTGCGATTTCGAAAATGTTTGTTTATTTTTAGTTTTATTCTGATAGCTCTTTTGATGTCTGATTTGTATACAGTAAAGTGAAAGAATCATACGGAATTAAAAAAATTATTTTTAAAAAGAATTACCATTCATTATTGCCGTGTCTAAAGGAATATTGGTAATCAGCAGTTCCTGAGGATTTCATCTAAAGGTAGACGATGCCACGCCCATTGTCCAATTTTCACACCAGATCTTATAAAGCCCTTCCCTACCCTCCTGGTTGTGAAATTTAATGCTTGTTGCTAATTTATTTAGTGAGTAATCGTACTTTCCGATTTTACTAATTTTCACAGAGTTTGAAGAGGTGATAAAATGATTTACATTAAAACATTTAGGCGGCGGAGCCCACATGTAGCACACTGGTTACTGCGATCTCCTGTACCAAATCACAGTTTTGCATCTTAATTTGCGGCTTAGTTATCGCATTTTAAAAGTTTGCGTTTAATGGTGTCAATGGCCAGGGTGCTAGGGAATATGTGTACCAAGTTTCATCAAGATATCTCAGTTTTTACTCAAGCTATCGCTTGCACGTTTAGGCGGACGGACGGACAGACAGTGACGGATGTCAACTCTTCTCGTCCTCCTGATCATATATACATATATATATGACTCTATCTCGAATAGTTTTAGGTGATACAAACAACCGTTAAGTGAACAAAACTATTATACTCTGTAGCAACATGTTGCAAGAGTATTAAAATTGTTGCCTACCATTAGGCTCCATTGCAGATAATATTATCGATGTCACATACCCAAACTTGATGTATAATGGTTATACTGTACATATTAATGTTGTAGAAAAAATATCGAAGCATTTTTAGTAGGTTTGATTAAAATAATAATTAACTGCAAATATTTTTTCCTTTAAAAATATTAAATATAAAAATTAAAAGAATATTAATCAAAATTTAAACTTTTTTTTAACATTAAAGTTGCTCTACTATAGGTATATTAAATTACGTTAATACAAATATTCTATGAATGAATTTTCAGCAAAGCGGCTTCATTTCAGTCTTAAAATAAGTTTCCCACTGGGGAAGCCACATTTTTTATAAATGTAACAATTACTAAATATATTTTGACTGGGCTCTACTGACCTAAATTGTAATGCATTTTTCGCCCCTTCGGAAATTGGCGTTGACACTTTGCACTTGTGTATTTACTCGTGTGCAAATAATGCTTGTCACATTTCCGTCGTGGCCATAGTCGCCACTTCTGTGACCATTGCTGTTATATTTGTTGATATTTTTCCGTACTTATTGTTGGCCACAATGTTAAGTGGTCTTACACAGCTTGCCCTTTGTGCAGGTGTGTGTATATGTGTGCACGTATGCATGTGGCTGTGTATGTGTGTGCGTAATGAGCAGAGCAAATGACCAAGAAAAATTCCGCTCTTTGCTCGACTTATAAATGAGATGCAATAAAAGATGGCCTTGGCTGGTATTCGAGAAGCCGTTTTGCCAGTTGCAGTTACATGTGTATTCGTATGTGTATGTGTTTAACTTTCATGTGTAAGTTAGGTTGAGATTTTCTTCAACCTGGTCGATATTTAGGAGTTTCGAATGTAATTGTTTTGTTCAACTTGCCACTGTTAAAGGTGTATAGGTATCATAGACTTATTGCTTTAGTTTGGTTTTTATTTTATTATCCGTTTGATTTGAGACTTTTTTTTGTGTTGTTCGCCTAAATGTAGGCAAATTTTATTTTATATATTTATTTTAGCATAGACAAAGGAGTCATATTTATTTATGCAGACGTAAAATACTATACTACATTGCACAGTGGTTCGCTTGTATGGAAGGCGCGACCATAAACACTTTTAGATGAGATATCATATTGAAATCTTTACCAAAAATCTATAAAAATATGATAAATATATTATAAAAAAATTGGGCACATTGTACCACTATATCCTATAGCTTCCATAGTAACAGTCAGTAACGGATCGATCTATTTTTTTATTTATTTTTTATTTTAAGGGAAACTGGGCGTGGTTTTACTAACAATAATACAATACAAAAGTAAAATATATACTTTTAAGAATATTCGCATTGATTGATGGTACTCAAAGATGTTGTGATAACAGAAAAATAAACCAAAACCAACATCTTTATATACAATATTATATAATTAGAAAACGAACAAAAATTTAAAAAATAATTTTCATATTGTCTCATCAAGTAAATCTATAGTTGACTTTAGTTACGTTAATTTGTGTTTATAAGCAAGTTTTCGTTGCCCAGTAGTAAAGGAATCAGAGCTTAGAAGCAATTGGTTCACTCAATCTGTATTTGAAGCGACGCGTCAAAGTTTACGTGTATGTTGTAATCGGAACTTTTTTATATTATATCTTTAACCTTTGTCAGCTTCTTCAAAAAGCTCTCCAATCAGAACCAAGGAATGTTTTATATCTTCAAACCATGAAGTATAATTTGAAGCACCGATGGAGGGACTAAAAAGCAGGGATCTCCAAATTTTGCTGAACTAATCTTGTAACCTGCCGATATGAAGTGCAACAATATTGAGGCTCTACACATAAATTTTTATAACCGTAAGACATACACAAACATACTGAAAACGAAATGAATGGGGGTATCGCGGGGGGAATACAACTAAAACTTTACGTAAACATATTAACGACGCACATAAAATGCATAAAATATAAGGTAAACTAAGGTAGCAATTTAAGAATAACTACAACAAAAGTTAGTTTTTGTTAAATTTGTAACATAAATAAATACCTTTGACTTCAAAATCCATTCAAAAAAATTTACATTCGTAAACGTAATAACACGCCTGACCACTTTGAACTTCGATTTTGTTGTGAAATATTCACACTGCGTGCACCTGCTCTTAAAAAATTAATAAGTGATGAATACTTCAATGCTATTTTTAGAAAGTTTCGTTAGATTTACAGGAAAAACCAGTTTGACATTCAGAATTTTGAACATTTTATACACAATTTTTGCTTTTTTCTTAACATAAAACTTTTTATTTTTGGCCTGTGGGCGAAACCACTGTGCATTGGTAAGAAATATTAAAAAAAAATTTTAAAGAAGAGTGTAGCATGCCAATGCTTTACAATTTTCTATATATATATTTGGTTACTTATGAAAAAATCTAATTAATATTGCAATAATAAAATTCAAACCAACACAGAAAATTTATTATTCAACCAAATATAGTTGACAAAGACTGAATTTGCTCAAACAAACTTTTAATCAAGGGGTCCACTTGATTTTTGTTAAAAAACATCTAATATTTGAGGTGCTTTTTAGTAACAGTCAGTGGATTTTAGTGGAGGAACCCATCATACTTTTCAGAGACTGAAGAAAAGGTATACACAAAAGAGTTAATTTTTCTTGCACTCTTCTTTGACATTCTGATCATTTGGTCATGACTTGTGATTCAAACTTTGATAAAGATGGTAATATAAAATTAACTTTCACACTTTGCACTACAATTATTATGAGTAACTTAATACAAGTACTGAAGATGGACAAGAAAGTAGATCCTCTTTCAGACAATACAATCTGATTACAGATATAGTTTGGTGCAACAATTTTTTATGTTTGTGCGAAGTTTGATCTCCATACTTTATCAAGGAAATAAGTATTTGAGTGCCACAAAGCATTCAGTGAAAACTGTGAAGTCATTGAAAACTTGCCTCATGTGAGTCGTTCATCGACTCCTGTTAATGAAAATCGTCATGTGTGCATCGGAAAATGGTAGAGGTTCTCAACATTTATTATGGATTGACTCAATCATTTTGGTTAATATTTTGAGTACAAAGCGGGTCAATGCCTCATTCTTACGACAACATCTGAATTCTTTGCAAAAACGACGTCGGGAAAGATTGCAAAAATAAATGCCTAACATCGTAGCTAAGGATTCTGGTTTATGAATGTGACGTCGCAACTGTCCAACAAACCAGCTAATGGCGCTCCAAAAAGCCCAAAATTTAATTGAAAACTAATTTGTTAGTCCGGGTAATATTTGATCAGATAGTATATGCTTTGTTCATTTTTGATATTTAAAAACGTTTTTATCATACGGATATGCTACAGATAGATAAAAAAAAGAATTAACGTGTACTCTGTCACAGTGCATCATCCATCTAAAGCAATCTAACAGGTCAGAGAGACCATACTCCCTACTCGGAGATGTTACTCCTTTTTTAGGGAGTGCTATACAATCAAGAAGTTGGTGCCGGTGTTTCTGCATTCAGGACACAGAAGCGAAAGTATTTGTACAAGATTGTGCGCAAATTATGTAAAAACCTTTCGGCTCTGTTGTCTTAATTACCTGCAACCTTTTATCCAAGTAATACTTTTGACAATAAAGAAATAAAAATTCAGCCTGCGCCTGTCTCTCTTCACCCGTTCCTCTTTATGGGAGCACTTTATGGTTTGAAACCCCACAGTGAAAAAGAGTTCTGATTAAATAAGCCAAAAGGCAGGCCATTGAATGATCTAAGCTAAGTCATCTAGTAAGAAATTTCCCAATTGGTATCTGTATACTAGGGCCCAAATTAGATCGAACGGTTGTATGCTACCACTTCGTAAAATGGTGTTGCATTGAGTGCTGTCTAATTTACGCATATATAATCAAATTTTTCTATCAGAAAAATATAAAAACTGATATTTCCTCTTTTTTTGTCATCCTTTGTGATTTCCTCGTTTATAACAAGCGTCAGACAAGCGAGGTCACGAAAACATGTTGAAATGATGTATACGAAATCGCAACCAATATAAATAATGAGTATGAATTTGATTTCCGGATTTGTTTACTCTCACTTTGCAACGGAAAACCCACCGTCACCCTTTTCCAAAACTAAATACCAAAGAGGAAAAAATGCTTACGTCATTATGTCTAAGTAAATCTGCCGGCAAAATTAATGGATTTATAATATAATATATAAATATTTATATGTTTGAAATATGTTATACGTATCACTGTATATATATATTAGATGTATATTGTACATATAATATAAATATATGGAGACTAGATTGATGAAAAGACAGCCCAAGGCCAATTTGATCATGTATAACAGGCATGTACGATACTCTAGTAGTGCTCATTTGTGTTATATCAAGATGAGCCATTTTCGTGATAAAATCTGGATTGACTAAATGAACGACAAAAACAAAAACACATTATGTTGGCTATGTGAGGAAAAATGGATAAAGTAAATACCGCTAGACATTATTAATTAACTTGTTGTGAGTCAACAAAGTAATTTAAGTAATTTGTTAAATCGATGTAATGAACAGAAATATCAAATTATGACATACAAACAATGAATTTACTTATTTATTTGCATTAAGTGCGGGTGTATGTTGGTTATGTCTTGCCAATCAAGCACGACCTCTACTTTACCAGTTTTCATTGGTGATTTATGTCATATACCTTCGTTGTATATTTAAGAAAATTGCTGTCAATTCATACATAAATAAAACTTATAGTGTTTACCGTTAGATATTTTCTGTAGTTATACCTCAGAAAATAATACTAAATTAACGTTGTTTTCTAAAATTTTAACAATCAAGGTACCACATCACCTCAACTAGCAGTCACTAGTTCGTCATATAAGAAAGTTTATATATGCTAATATTCTTTATTCGTCGTTACACGAAAAAAATGTGAGCCGCTGTGTACTTTGTACTTACCCCTGCACCGAGTTCGATGTCGACAGCACACCATTTTCCAATGAGTCGCGCGACATTTCGTCCGCCATTTGCACTTTAAGCTGATGACCGAACGAATTCATATCGGAATTGGGTGTCATTTGTGAACCGCCCGGTGATTGTGCCAAATATTGACCGGGCGTTGTGACCGAACCGCCCTGCGATATGGAAGTCGTCATGCCGGGACCACCATTCGGCAGTACCACATCCACGCAACTCTCACCCGTCGTCGAGTCCATATTGATGATCTGACTGCCGGCAGCATTGTTAGCCAACGCAGCGCCATCACTCTCGTCCACCTCACCCTCATCAATATCCATATCTTCGGCATTCTTATCGAGCGGCGCCGTTTCTTCATCTTCATTATAGATTTTGAAGTATGCATATGTCAGGTATATCACCGATATAATAAACGATGGTATTGGTATGGCCATCGAATAGATCAGATTCAATGTGTTCTGCCAATAATCCAAATCGCTTATCACCAAACTTGGATCAACTTTCGAATAATAGCATGGGAACTTAATCCCGATCTTCGTATAGCGTTTGAGCCAAATTGTACAATTAAGCATAGGCGGATAACCGCAACCCTTAACGTTGGGAAAGAGACGCGCGCCCACATAGAAATACATCGAGTTATTACCCATGAGACCCTCATTCAATTCGGAGATTTCATCGAAGGGATGCCGTTCCTCATTAAAGAGAATACTACCGGGTGCACCGCTTATATCATCGTCGAGCGGCTCCTCATCGACAAGATAGCCACTCGTGCCGTCACCAATGCCGGCACTCTCACCACCGAAACTGATCGTATTCAGTCGTACTTGCTCGTTTGTCGCCGACGCTGCCGCTGCAGCTGCCAGCGCCACGGAGGGACTGGACATTAATGCCGCCGCCGCCGGCACATTCACTTGATTCGCCTTGGCGGCATCATTCGTGGCCGCATCATAATCATAATCGCGTATGGCGCGCTCATAACGATCGGTACGCTTGACCGGCGGCAATTCACGTTCCGCCTCGGCCAAATTAATGTGATATTCAGTGAAATTGAATTCATCTGTGTAATTGTACAAATTCAGTCGATAATTGACGCGTATCTGCGTACAAGTGTAAATATCCTTTGTGCAGCCCTCGCGACATGACGCCCACGAGCAATTCTTGGCGCCGAAATATGTCTCCACATCGTAGGTTTCGCACAATGCGGGCACCTCTTCGAATTGCATAAAGATCGTCGTGAAGGCGGGCTCTATGACAAACGGCACGAGAAAGAGGAATGCAAACATGCTAAATGTGCCGAGTAGTATGAAGAAGGCAGTGGTGTAGAAGAGCATCTTCTCCTTGAAGGTGCGTTCTTCTTGTTCGTCACCCATTTTTCGCGTATTCTGTTTGCTGCCGTTGTTGTGTTGATATTAATTATTCTTTTTGTTGTTGCTGCTATTCGAGTGCTTTTGTTGTATTTTGCATTTACATATGTTTATTGAGCAAATATATGAAAACTCCGCACCACACGTAGCTGTTGTTGTTGTAAACGTCGAATCGATAATCGTTGCTAGCACCGCGCCGAAGTATTACGAAGTATTTGCATGTATGTTTTCAAAAATTTTTTGAAAATAATGGTATTTTTTTTAGCTTCCTTTAATTTTTTACTGGTTAGCGCCACAATTTCGAAATTTTACTTTAAGTTTCGCCAAATACCGTTAAAAATATTTTTTTTCTCTAAGATTTTTTAATTTTTTTCTAATTTAAATATTTTCTAGTTTAATTTTTATTTTTTATTCAAAATAACTAATATTTGATTTAATGATTTATTGTTTTTTTAATTTTTTTATATTTTATTTGTAATATTTTTGTCACTAATTATTTAATTTAATTTTAAATTTTATTATAATTTATTTTATTATAATTTATTTTAATATTTGCTGTAGTTCATTCGCTTTGCTAGCCTCAGACATTCGAGTGTTTTTGCTTGTTCGTACTTCAAGCTGCTTTTTTAACTGCGATTTAGTTTTCGTTTCGCTTTTTGATAAAATTTAATTATTTTAATATTAAATTTTTAATTTCAACTTTATTTTCTTTTTAAATTAATTCCTATTAATTAATTATTATTTTTTGATTAATACATTTTTTTATACTTATTATTTTTAACTTTATTAACGTTAATTTTATTTATTTAATTTTTTTATATAATTTTTATATTAATTTAGGTTTTAATTTTTATTGATTTTTAATTTTTTTTAAACATTTTTTTTTTACTAAATTAATTTTTTAAATAAAGTTACAGTGCAATTTTTATATATATCACAGGGTAGTTGCATTCGCTCCTCCTCACTTCTGTTCACCACACGCTTGGCTCTCTTCTTGTATGACGCGACTCGATATATTTCTATAGATATTTATCTGCCGCTTGTGTCCTCTATATGCTTACACTTATTTGCTACTATATGTGTTTGCTTGGTGTGTAAGCTTGCTTTTGCTTCAGCGATTTCAAGTTGTTATTGGTATTAGTGTCATATACACATGTATATCTGCCAAATGACAAGCCACAATATTTGTATTTGTGCCACTACTTTTTGTATAAGCTTTTATTTTATTTTATTAATTCTTGTTCTTTTTCGTTGTGGCTTGCACATGCGATGGAATGAACGCTTTAGTAGACAAACTGTCAGTTGAACTACAACGATTTATGCGGCGCATTTATTTGTGTGCTCTAGTTTGTTTGTTATTGCAGCTGTTATTTTTTTTGCTGTTGTTGTAGTATTTAAAGCTGTTTCTTATGGCTTTTGTTGTTGTTGGAAATCAACTGGCACTGTGTCGCCTAGCGTATTATTATGATTGCCACAACTGCTACGACTGTTTTGTTGTTGTTGTTGTTGCTACAATGCGCCTGTCTGTCTGCGCTATATCTTATTCTCGTGACAAAACGCTGTTTAACGCTAAAAGTTTCTTCGTTATGGATTCCGCTTTTATTTCATTTCATTCGCTTGTTAGTGTTTTTGGTTCTTTTGGCTTTCATGTGCAGCAGTATTCGTTGTGGCTGCTCGTTTGGCGCGCAAGTGGCAGGAGATGTAATGAAGTGAAATGAAATATTTTTGCATTGAAGATATAGAAAATTAACTTTTTTCACTTTTCACATTTTTTCGTGCTTCTTACAGCATTTTGTGTTGTTGTTGTTGTTTTGATGTGTAATTTGTTGCTCTGTTTTCGCGCTTGTGCCTAGCAACTTCACTTGATTTAAAATGCAGATTTGGGCTTTCTCTTTGCTTCAATTCTTCAATTTTGGAATTGTCTGTCTTTACTGTCTTCCGCAACGCAGTTCCGCTACAAAGTTTCACCTAAAATATTGAGCGTTTTCGTGAATTTGCAATTCGCTTGACTTATTTGTGCTTTGCGGCGTTCAATGTTTCTGTTCAAGTGAAATTTTCGGCTTTCCAAAAATTGTTTGCACTTATATAACTTCGTTTGCTCAACACCACGCCACTCACTTGGTGCTTAGCAAGTCTCACTGGTGCGTCTTTTTGTCTTCTATTAAATTAGTTTGTGCATATAATATTACTCGCTGTCTTCCAGCTATCATTCATATTCGCTTAATTAAGCTTTAAGCTGTTTGCTCGTTAGGCGCTTCAGCTGGGAAACTCTAAGGCAATTGCCTACTCTAACGCTGACGACTCAACGAAAGGTAAAAGAAACCAACTCACAACCACCTTTGGCAGTTTTTGCTGGGCGCACGCAAGCACGCGTGTGAGTGTGATTTTAAATCTTGCTGCTTTACACCTTTTTAATGTTTTACTGTTACTCGCTGCTGCTGTTTATGCTGGGTACTCGCTGACAACCAACAATTAATTACCTTTCTGCGGCGTTACTCATACGCAGTGGTGGCCAACGCAATGTGGGCTGCTGCGCTCTCTCACTGCTCTGTCCTTACACACTTTATGCGAGTGTGTATGTTTGATTTATAACCGAACATTCAATTAGCATCCCACGCTGCATATACACACGCTGGCAGCAGCTTGTGTGCTTGTGGGCGGCAATTAGTGTCTGGCGCAGTGTCGCATGTGTAAATGCGTAATTATTTTATAGCTTTGGGTATTTAAAAATTTTATACTTTAAGTATTTTATGTACACACACATTTGTATCTATATTTGCCGGGCAAACACGCACTGCTACTGTGTTCGGAGGCCTTCACCGTCTACCTTACTCGATCGTCCTGCCTTGAGGCGCTGTTTGACTATGTCCTCTGTGTCTCGCTGTTGTGGGTCTGCATCAAAAATTCATATGTTGATAACAAAGTTGACATTCGAGGCGTATGGAAATAACAAAAGTAACAACAACTACTAGTTCTTTGTGTAGTAGTATACAATGTCAGTTATTATCCAAAAACCCAGAATGCGTGTGCCTCAAAGTGGTCGCCTGTGTATGGACTGAGTTAGCATATTTATCTTGGTGTTGTTGTTGTTGATTACAGTTGTTGTTGGGTTATTCAATAATGAAGCAATCTATATCCGTGTTAATACGACCACTGACCAACACACCGAAATGTTTATATGTATATTAATATATATGTGTGTGGCTTGTTAGAAATGCATGTATTCTCTTCACACACAGTTATTTAACCTTTTGGCGAGCAGTTTATTATAAATTTATGCGCTTTACTTGTATGTACGTCATAAAAACTTATAGTTTAGTAACTTAAGTAAATTGTATTGCTATATTTAGTTGTAAAAACAAGACAAATGTTTGTATGTACTTGCGCTTTATTGCCGTGACTAATTTTAGAATTGAAGGCGTAGGAGCATTGCTTATAATTTATATTGAAATATTTTTCATTCTTTAGTTTTGGGTTTTTCTTTTTCACTTTTTCACAACGATTTTGGATTTTATTTAATCAATTTCTGTTGCCTTTGAATGTGGCAACAACAAAAATAAAAATAATTGAAAAAAAGCGAAAAAAATTCTATATCACTGGACGGACTTAATTGTGGCGTTGTTGTAGAGAAAGCGTTGATTTTGTTTTTGTGATATATAATGCTATTTCTTTGTATATAGGCGATATTTATTATTGTTGTAGTTTTGTAACAAGCAATTTGTTTCACAACAATTCGAACTGATCTGATCTGACTGACTCTCAGCTCGCTGCTAGCCGCGCGCTGGCGCTCGGCGTGGCTCGATATTTGTGTGTTTTACCAAAAGTTTCGCTTTGCTGGAGTTGTTGTTGAGGGGAGGCGGTGCGCTAACTGCTCTCTGCTGGCTTGCTGGCTGGCTGGCTGGCTGTTCGTAAAAGTGCTGTACGTGGAAGTGTACTTGGTTGTTTTTATTGATTGTTGCAATAAATATTACGCTTTTATTTATTGCAGCTCAATAATTTGTTGTTATTGTGTTTGCATAGCGCCCTATTATGGCTGCTGCTATTCTATAATTTTTATTTCAGAAATGTGAAGTCTTAACTATCGCCACAACAATACTGTTTAAGCTGGCAGTCGCCGACTCATGACCGACTTCACAGCTGGCGTTGATATATGATAGCGCTTCTCTGTGTTTTTTTTTCGCAGCTTAATTTTATTATTAATGTTTGCTGTCACTTAACGAGTTTGTAAAAGTTTGTTGTGGATTTCCTTCTTCAGTTTTGCACTATTAACACACTTTCTTGCCAAACTTTGCTTTGTTATTTATTTTCTTCTTTGTGGTGGCATAGTTTTTTCTCAAAGTTTTGTGTATGCTTTATAAACAACACATAATTTAGTTTGGTAATGTTTTAAAAACCCTGAACTGAAAGTAAAATTATATTCATTTCAATAATAAAATAAATTATTTTTTCTTAAAATTTTGTTTCGCTTAATTATTGCTGTTTATTGTACATATCCACGGGTGATTTAAAGATCACTATTGCCATATATTGTTAAGCCGTTATGCTCTGTCAGATATTTTTAAACCTTTGAGGATAAGTCACTCTTGGCTAGTAAACATTTCTTAAATACAAAATATATATTCAAATGCTATATACAGTCAATTCAAAGGGATCGAAATAAGTGTGTGCGAGAACCAAACGAAATAAAAAGCTAGTAAAACGGGCCTTAGTCGTAAGAAGTTGTAAAGATTTTGAACAATATGCAGCAGTCTGCAAAAAAATTGTATTTAACAAAAAAAATGTTGACTTTGGAAGCAACGAAGCTATAACTCCCTTTACAGGTGCATTTATTATAGCGTAGAAGGGTATAAAAAGATAATTTTCATGATTTGGATCGACTATTTTGTATGACAGTAGTAATCTGATCTGACCAATATGTTCAGAAATTTTAGCGTCACCTTAAGTAATAATCCATAACGAATTTCGTGAAGATATCTTTTTAAATAAAAAAGTTTTCCATACAAGAACTTCATTTTAATCGCTCAGTTTGTATGTCAGCTATTTGCTATAGTAGCAAATGAGCAGTAGAAGAATATAGGCGATTTGATGATGTTGAAATACCAAAAATTCCTCTAAAATATATTTTTTTATTAAGCACGAGGACAACAACATATAGCTTTACTTCGATAAAGACATAAATGCAAGCCGGGCGCCTGAAAATGTGAATAGTGTTTATGATCCGGATGCTATGTATAACAGCCAATAATGCGGAATTTTAGTTTCGCCTATTTTGAGCATTACATAAGCTATATTTCAATTACTCAAGAGCTAAGATTTTTTAATCAGGTTTTTTCTATATTCGATGCTTTTATTATTGCAAAGTGAAATACGGTAAGATAATTCAAATTCGTCAATTTTAAAGCTGCATTGAGAGGGCGTTCTAGACATTGCATATAACTAAGTTGATTAAGGTTGTCTAAACGATTTGTAAGATACGAAACTTCATGCAAAAGTGGTGGGTGCCAAAGTCTACTTTTTGAATTAAACTGTTCCTAAACCTTATATAAAGTACTTATGTTAACTTATGTTTCTGAAATTTTTTTTTGTTGAGAGTTTTCGTTTTAAAAAATCCCCTAATTAGTATTTTCACATTGGCAAAGAGGACGGTGTACGCAGTTCGATTTACCATCAAGATCTTCGAGAAAAAAGATTTTTGGAGAATATAATACCTGCAACCTCAGTATGTTAGTTTTAAAATTTCAAATCACTTATCATTTACTTTTCCAATAGTTACTTTTCATATAGTTGACAACTTTATGCAGAATATTTTCAGCGTAAGAATAAGTGACGCAGGAATTTGAAAATTTTAGACAACCTAATTACCCAACAACCTACCTATACTCTGGTCATGGCTTCTTTGTTCCTAAAAATAGTAAATTTCTTAATTTATTTTCTTAGAAATAGTAAACATCTTTCTATTCGTTTTGTTGTTATTGTATTAAAATTAATCACTTCGATATTTTCCATTGTTTCGTCATTGTTTTTCTCGCTGCTTTCAGTCACTTGAACACTCTCAATCGTCGCTTGCAATAAAATATAATGCTTCTCCTTGTTGTTGTTTTTTGTATTTGTATTTTTATACATATCAACCCACTCGAAATTTGAATAGCGCAATTTAACCCACATTGTTTGTTGTTGTAGCGTCTATTGTAGTCATTGCTGTGTAGTATTTTCAAGCATTTACTTCTTGTTGTTGTTACTGTAGTAATGCATTTTTTGTTGAACAGCACATATATACACACAGTCATATATTATATTATGTATAGTAGTTGATATTTGATGCATTCTATTCATGACCTGTATTGTTTATTAGCATTTGCTATTGTTTTTGTTTCAGTGTACTTGCTATTGTTAGCATACTTTAAGGAATTTTTATATTCCAAACATATTTATGGGTTAGTGCGGTACTTATATGTTGTTGTAATCGTAATTCTGAGACGTTGTTTTTCTTAGTTTCCCCACTGATTCTCTGTGTTTTGTTGCTTTCGTTTTTGTGCAGTTGTTTTGGTCGTTTCGGCTGGTTGCTTTCGCTTAACAATAAACATAAGCAATTAACACAGTGCTTTAATAATACTTGGCTACCGCCCTTAGCATAGATTGAAGCAACCTGAAGCAGTGTTATGGGCTTGGCCAAGTACATACATATATGTATGTGGGTATATTAAAAATAAAGAGAAGTTATCTTTTCTCTTTGCCCGCAACGAGTGTCGGGACGACGATGCCATAAAAAAAAATACAATGTGTCCGGACTTCAGCTCTAAGTTGTTTTATTTCTTTACAAATATGGAGTCTAACAGTTGATGATTGATGGCTTCAGAATTTTGACGTTTAACGTGGAGAGTGAGAAAAATAAGGAAATGCTTTTCAGATGTCATGTAAATTGGGATGCAAATATGATAAAACCTTTAATAAAGCTTAACGAATATCAAGGCGCAACTAGTTAGCGAAGCGTAAAGTGCTTCAAGTTCCAAACTCAATATCCTCCCCTCCTTACCGAAGATTTCATGGAAGAAATCGCTTGTATTTGGGACTCGAAAAAACGTCATTTATGCTCACTCAAAATGTTACTGAGTGCAAAGTAAATAGAAACTTATAGATAGGCTTATAAATCTAGAGGGATATGAAAATTTAAATTTTCTGCGGTAACACTTTCATTGGACAAAATTTCGATTTCAAATTGACTGTCTCTGAAACCTTTTTGAATTGTTTGAAAGCAAAAAGAGTGAACTAAAAGTGCTACATTCGGAATCATTTTTGACGTTCAGATATATTTATAATTACGATATTCATCAACCTAAACGAAAGATCTTTGTTACTACACACGATGCCATTAGAAAAGGGGGATAAAACCACGACGCTATAAAGATTAGCGGGAAGTACTGTAACAAAAAACTCTAATCTCGTGAAGTAGAAAATTTCCTAAGATTTAAAACTGAAGTCGCAATATATTACCATCCCTTAAATTCCAAAAAAAGAAAGAAAATTTGTTTATATAAAAAATATTATATATCTGTCGTATGTCAAATTTGATATTATATATTTGGTAGAAATGTTTGTTTCTGCTTTTTATATTAGGTAGACGTAATTGTTTTCTTTCTGGCTTTTAGATCGTGGAACACTTTAAGCCATATTGCAACTATTTACATATTTACTTTATTTTTTTTAACTTAATTGATTTCTATATGTTTGTAAAATCCTACTCTATCTAGGATAAAAAAAACCCTGTGGACTCAAATAATATTTGATTTTATTTTCAGAAAAAAGTTGTTTTTAATTAATTTTTAATTTTCCATAATATAAAAAATGTTTTTTTTTATTCAAAAATAAATCGCGAAAAAGTAATTTTGTTCGCCCTCTCCAGTTACTTCTCAACTTAACTTCAATAGAGTTACATATATCTGTGTATGTATAATGTCATACTACAAGTATATAAGATTACGTTATGTTATTGTGCATAATGAGATCCTGTTAGATTATTTAAAAATATATAAAAAACTAAATCTGTTTCATGGCAGCGATTCATGTGATATAGAACACACTTAATTTTTTGAGGTTATTTCTTAATTTTTTTAAAAAGACTTGAATGAGTAATAAATGAAAATAATGTTAAAAGAAAATAATTTGAAAATATTTACAAAAATAATTTATTTATTTTATATTAAAAATGTTCAAAGCACTCATGCATCTATAATGGATAATACTTTTTGTAGCGAGTTAGTGCACGACATACACTCATTTCGATCCTTATTGTTTTATTTTTGTTTTGAGAAACCGAAAATTAGTTTACTATCTTCGTTTTAGTTTTATGAATATTCACACTTTCTCCTACATTTTTCTTTAAACATATTTACTAGTTTATAAATACAATATATTTTCGGAATTCAGGATTATTTATTTGCTTTCTCTTTATTTCATTAACAATTGATTTTTTCTGCTTTTCGAAAATCATTTAAAAAATAAAGATGTAAAAGGGAAATGTTTGGTTGACACGGAAATATCAATGAAGGGGAGAACTACATTTTTTCTTGATTTGTAATTGATTTAGTTTGCACACCACTACTACTTTGAAGAACGAAGATACCCTCTTGCCTTTTGTGCACATACATATGTATGTACTTGTATTGGTATATAAGTAATAAATGTAGCAATAAATTCACCATTTTGCCACATGCTAGTATGATTTACAATTTTCTTAGCTCACATGACACACGCCACATGCACTACCTCAACAAATATATCGGTATGTGTGTGGCTATACCTTTCCACACCTTTTCACACACACACATACACACGCAAAATACACTGTTTATATACTTTTACACATTTTTTCCAACACTGCTATGTATTCGCTCTGCCGCAGCCAATTGCTCTTTCGCTGCAGCGCACTGGTGTGTGTGTGTGTATGTGTTTGTGCTTGGCTTGCCGCTGCAACTCCGCAAGAATGAGTTTTGTGCCAAGCATGAATCGGCACAGGACAATTTTTATTAAATATTTATTACACTTTATGTATTATGCTTGTTGTTGTTGGCTTTTTGTTTTTCCACACATTGTCTTTATTGGTGTGTTTGTTTTTGGTTTTTTTTACATACATGCACTTTGCCAACATTCATCAGTCGATATATGGTGGGCGTTCCGGGTCACACACGCGTTCACATTTTTTGTTTTTGTATGCTATTTGCGTGACACACAGACACATATACGCACGCATATGTATTAACTTTTGTTGAAATCAAAATTTACAATGGATTCTCTACAAATTCATTTTATTGCACTTTTTTGTTTCACTATTCACAAGCGGTGATGTTAACTATTTTACCGTTATTTGTTGTTTGCGAACTTCGCTTCACTTTGCGACTGAACTCGATTTATGTCTTATTTGTGCGCTAACATTTTCGCCTTTTATGTAATCCACTCATTCCTTGGTCCTCCATTGACGTTCGTTCGCACACTGACGACTCGCTGACTCACCGCTTGCCAAATATGGCACACCACTGACGTTTTTCAGGCGCACTCCGTTCGCCTGGCACCGTCCCCGTCACTACCACCGATTTTTCTCGTTTCTTATTTTTTTTTGTTGCTTTTGCATATATGTTTTTCCTCTTTAATTCAGCTGTTTACAAATGTCACTTTTTCACTCGGCGCACAAATGGCTGCACATAAACAACGGACTCGCATTGGCGTAATAAATATAGCTTTTCAATGTGTATGCTTGTGTGTGTGTGTATGTGTATGTAAAATGTAAAGCGCAATCGAATTTAATCGAATTGTATGCGGCACTGCCAGTGCGACCGCCGTTGTCACCACTGTCGCTGCTGACTTTTAGACGCTGAGTGTTACGAAACGGAAACCACAAGCGCCGAAGTATTTCGTTTCAGCGTTTTCGCTCGGCGCCAGCATCGTTTTGTGGCTCGACACACGCACGCCGCGACGTTGGCTTGATTTGACTTGACTTGAGTTGACTTGGCTTGGTGTGGCGCTTAAGCAGCCGCAACGGCAGCGGCAGTCACAAATATAAGCAGCACAACAAATAGTAGGGCAGGTGTTAGCAGCGGCTCAGAATCCAACTGCAAGAGTGGGCATTGACTGCTGTCGTCGTCCGACATGTTATCGTATTTTATTGTTTTTTTCTTTCTAGGATGCCTGTGTATTTGTGCTGCTTGCACTACACGCTTGTTTGCGTTTTTTCCCAACTGTTTCTCCTTTTAATTATCCTGTTTTGAATATATTTTTGTGTTTTGGTTTCTTTGATGTTGTTATTGTACATTCAGTTCAATGTTAACGTCATAAAAACTACCAATTGTTGTTGTTAGTAATTGTGTGAACTCAACTGTTTGCGTGTATGTTATGTGAAGTGCACCATTGTGAATTATGACGCCCTGCCGGAAAATTTGTTTTAACTGCGAGATAAATCATTTATATGAAATTGTTGAAAAGTGGAGTAGGTTGAGTAGATTTAGGTAAACTAAGCGGATTTTAGGTAAACACAGGGTTGATTTTTTTGTAATTCTTTTTGATTTTCAGAAAGCATAACATCAACTTTATAAGAAGCAAAAGGAAAAAGTAAATTCAGTTACACCTATATATAATACCGTTCACAAATAAAAACTTTCCATAAAAGTACTTGATTTTAATTTTGATCGATCAGCTTGTATGACAGCTATATGCTTTATTTGTACAATTTGAGAATTTTATTCAAATATTATAGCGTTACTTTTGGTAATATTCTATGCCCAATTTTGGAATTGAAGATATCTTGTCGAATAAAAAAGTTTTTCATACAAAAACTTGATTTAGATCGATCGGTTTATATGGCACCTATATGCTATAGTGATCCGATATCGGCTATTTTGACAAATGAACAGCTTTTTGGATAGAAAAGAACGTGTGGAAAATTTTATATGGATATCTAAAAAACTGAGGGACTAATTCGCGTATATACAGACGGACATGGCCAAATCACCTCAGTTTGTCATGCTGACCATTTATGTATGTAATTTATAGGGTCTCCGCCATTTACTTTTGGATGCTACAAACTTCGTGGCAAACTTAATACACCCTGTTGTTAATCAAATAAATGTAACTCATTTCAATAGTCAGATGATGGGAAACTTAACGAATTCACTTTAAGCCACATTGACATTAAGCGCGTATAGTTAATTTTTCTCGTAGAGTAGTCATACACTTGCACACGTAACTACATATTGACCGGGCAATTATTTCTGTTATTGTTGAGGGGCACACACACACACATACGCACACACAGAGTTGTGTCCATTAAATTTGATTCGCATGCTTAAAATATTTTCTATATTTTTTCGTTTTTAATTTCATATTTCACACGATACTCCATTAAACACGTCCGCTGCGAGCCATACACTACGTGTACCTTGGCGTATAAGCGACATTCATATTCATATGTAATTTTTCAGCACTCATACGCCCTGTATTACATGTAAGCTTTTACGAGGGTAAGCCACATCTATTACTTCATATGTATATATGTATGTGTATATGCGTTCATTTGATTAATAATTTGCGCATAGAAGCATAGCTGTTCGTTCTTATATGACGAAAAGCAATTTTACGTGCTTGAATTTTACCCTTTCCCTTCGTTTTTACAATAGTTAACGATTTTCATATATTTTCTATTAACATTAGTGGCTTTCTGCGTCACTGCACTGCTGTCAAATTTACTCGTGGCAAATTTACATATATGCATTTTCATATTATTTTACGTTTTTCAAACCGAGAAGTTGATTTTGTGGTGCACATGTGTTTCTCGCTGGCTTTATCTTTAGCTTAAATGCACACTTATAATACTTCCTCTACGCAGTTTTGCAGTTTTTTTTTATATTTTTTTCTTTTTACATTTGATTCCCTTCAATGCCACTTTTATTTGCACATTTTTATTGCTTCGACTTTGTAAATATTTTATATACTAGCTACTCATATGTTGTAGACTGCTGTGTGCGTGGGTATGTGTGTGTGTATGTGTATGCATTAAAACACATGCTTATGCCTCTATATATCCATATACATATATATACTATATGGCATATCGCGCTGCTATATATAGCGTGACATGTGTAGGCAATATAATCATACATAAGCATGAGTATGCACATAAACATGCACCCTCAGTTAGGTATATGTATGTACGCTTGAATGTGTGTCTTTTTGTATGCTGCTTGTTCTTTAGTCCTTCAAATAATAATACAACTCTTTCGCTTCCTACACTCTTTGCAGATATTATCGTCACACTGTTCGAGCGACGCAAAGATAATTCAGCCAACGCCAGACATCACTGCTTTTACCACTTTGTTACTAAATTTAATTTATAGAGCCATGCTACTTCGTTGGCTTCCTACTCACACCTGATTCTACAATATATAAGATATATATATATGGAATATTCAATTAGTTAGTTGCCTTTTAGCAGAGAATCACGTTTGCAAGCAATAATTTACTGAGTTACATATTATTTTGATTATTTGTTTTTTAAGACTTTTCCATTTGCTTCTATACTCCTTTTTCCCATTTAATACAATTTCATTTGTTCCATTTTTGCCGATTCCCTCGTTGCGACCTGATTATACTAGTCGTACAATGTACAATGTCTTCAGGTCGTGGTAGCGCTTAAGTGCAAAACCTTTTGCCACACACACTACGGCGGTCGGTGGCCATTTCAACGGACCACTCACTATACAATCACGGACGCACGAAAAAAACCGGAATATTCAAATGGCTGGCTTATGAGACTCTTCACAGTAAGGACTAACGCGCGACTAGAACGAGGCACCTACGAAACACTGCGTAATCGCCATTGCACTGTCCCAGGCTAAGGTGTTTGAAGAGAGTCAGTTAGTGTTCGTGGAGCTTATAAATGACTGAGAGTGTTACTGAGCAAGTGACTAGAGCTTTGATTGAGCAAATAAAATTCGGTGAAAACTGTAAGGGAGTTCAATTAAATTTACGACAGTTGGGGAGTAAGTGAAGAGAGCTTTAAACAATTGCTCTCCTGTGCAACTAATACGCTTCACTGAGAGCTACTGTCATGAGCTGTCAAACTATCGTTTTGAGCGGTTTATATATTTTGGGTCAATACTTTCATTCTCTCGAAACAAATGTCAAAGTGACAGTTATAAATTAAGGAATTCTTTTAACAAGCAAGTAAATTTAAAAATATATTTCTTTTTGGTGTCCAGATTTCAAATGTAATATCATGCATTTAACTCGATGTATTGTAGATGACATGAAAGCTTGCGAATTTTCAATTTCATCATTTCTTGAGAAACTGGTTTCAACTCAATTTTTTTTATTTCCACAAACATAGACAGAAGACAGAGTTGAAAACAGTCACGTACTCTATTAAATTTCTATTGTATTTGATACATAACTTTTACAATTTCAGTTGTCAAAATCTTTAACTGTTTGTACTCTTTTGCTCATACATTTCCAATTTGCTGTAAGAGAATTTAGGTATGACATTTACTTTATATTGCTAACTTATCGCTTAGGAACGGCTATAAGCATTCCTACTCACACTCTAGCGGCAACGGCAGTAAACATCGCTCAAAGCAACATTAACTACATTTTCCAACTGTCAAAATATAATTGTTTTACAATAACATTTCCATTTAATGATGTTTGTTTACCTTTATTAGTTCTCATGTACGCTCTCTACTCCATATGTCAAAATTGACATTTTCATTCATTATTGTCCGTGAGTTTTATGTCTCATTCATTGCATGTGCTCTCTTGAGCTCTTTCAACTCAATGGGTATATAAAAATATAAGGAATGAGAGATGACTTCGCCAAAACTGTTTCACTCCTCAGAAACCTAGTATATTTATTGAATTATTTTTGGAGAAACTGGTTCTACGCGCCTCTCTAGTTTGGCACAGTTAGCATGTGCTTTTTAAACAATGTATGTACATCACCATGTGTGACGCTGCCTAAGCCTGGTCAATACGAAATGGTGAGAGAATGGTTTAGCTAAATATTTACTTTATGCTTCATTACCAATTACATTTGTTTAGCAAAAAACAAAGGAGAAAAGGATCATTAATGATTTTTGATGTCTCTAAAATTAATTTCAACAAAAATTAATTTTCTTCTATATTAATTTTTAAACATGATATTCAGTAGTTTCCAAAAATATATTAGAAATAAGTTCTAACAAACATATGTCTTAAAAACACTAAATGATGCACAAGGATGTTCTAGGGAAGGAATTTCATCTAAGACTTTGCCTTAGCATTCTATTAATATGAGCTTCTGGCTTTCTTATCTCATCTAAATAATAACGATCTTCCGGTTTCGCTTCCAGGTAGTCTAAGATGTCTTTAAACAATTAAGCTCCGATACTTTACAAGTGGATATAAGCCAACTACTTCTTATATACTTATAGTATATTTCTTATTTCTTCTAGATTCAATCCATAATCATTTCCAAAAAAACGAAATATAGCCAAATAGCCTACGAGCGACTTCTGACCTATACTTTCGTGCATAAGAAATCAACCTACTCAAACCCATATGCATACGATATACTATGTAAGAGTTATAAGTTGAAAAACTTGCAACAACTCCAAATGACTCATTGATTGCTTGTACAAGAAACGAAAGCAATAAAAGAAGAAAACAGTTACTGGACGATGACGTAAAATTGTGCAAAAGGACATGCACCACCAGCTTTTAAACCAAACATTCACACTCTATTATTTATACGTACTCGACCCGCTCTTATTCTCATTGTGAAAACGCTCTCACTCGAAAATTAGACTTACAGCTTTACTTGAAATGGACAGTGCTCATTAATGAACTGCTCAAGTGAAAATGTAGCTCTCATTTCCTTCTATCCTTTCTCTCACGCTCTCCATTTTTATGGACTTACTCTCTTCTATTTCCTGCTCAAATGTTCATCCATCTTTACATTCCATTACACATGACTTTCGCAGGTAGGCAAGCCTCAACAACAAATAGGTGAAACCAAATGACAGCGCAATGTGGATGGCATTTCGTTTTAGTCAACACTTTTGGAAAAAGGACCTCTCAAAAATGGTGGAAAACAAGTGTCAGTCTGCTCGTTGCGCACAAGTCATGTTGTACGCTCTTTGCCCGTGTGTAAAAGAAAATTCTTGTTCGCTGTGTGACATTAAATATTTCAATATTATTGATATTTCTTGCTTGAGAAGTGTATAATACAACTTGAAAAATTATTTATTACACCGCATTGCAGCGAGTATGGAATTAATTAATGTGTGATGTTATGTGTTGTGAAGTTAACAATAACAAAAATGGCCATAAATTATGTGGCCGAAGTGATTTCATAATAACAACTTGAGCGTCGAAAGGAGGCCATCAAGTATAAAAGGAAAAGTGTAGCAGTCGAAAAGCACATGTACCTGCACATAAGTACTAGTATTTGGAGTGTAGAAGTGTATAAAAAATATATATATCTGATGAACTGCAGTTGAAAAACGTTTTGTAAACAGTGTAAGAATTCTACACAGCAAAGTGCGGTTGGAGGGAAATTCGGAGGTCACACACCAGCAGGTTAGTGCACTTGAGCCAATGCAATGACGTAGAACGAAGAAGATGCAATTTCGTTCTATAAATAACGATGCACAATAAAGGACGAAAGGTATGGCTTAGAAGCCATAACGTATTTAATTAAATAAATATATTGAAGTAAAATATTAAGTGAATTTAATATTTTTAATGTAATTTGTTTAAAATCTTCATCTATTTATAACTCTAGGAAGCTTCTCGTACAAAAATAACGACTTTTTGAATGCACTTTTTATTTAGTTATCTATTTATTTATTTTCTCCATACTAACTGACAAAATAATATCCTTGGTATGCATTCTCGGCCGCAAAGGCTTTTAAGGTAAATAAAATCTGCAGCAGGAAATACCATATCGGAAGCAGGCGGTTGAAATGCATTTCTATCCCCTTATAATCACATGTTTGAATTACGATCACTCAAAAATTATGATTTTGTTAAATTTTTTCAAAATAAGTTAGTTGAAGTCTTCGCTGTTATACATACGCATTGTAGTCCTTAATTCACTCTATTAAAAAAGCGCATGAAAGTTATCAAGTGATTAACTTCTCACTGCTTTAAAATTTTAGCACGATTGATTATAAATACTACTCAATAAAATCAAGAAAAGTTGCTTATAAACTAAAATTTTGTTTCTTTCAATTAAAATTATAATCGCTGCTAAAAGTTTGCTTTTTTTATACTCTGATTTTTTTTGAGGATCATAGCCATCTGGATGATATACGATAGGACTTTATTTCTTAGTTGATATATAACTTAAGGCCAATTCAGATCCACCATATTATTACTTTTTCAGTTAATTTTTATAACATTTTTATTGCTGTTAGAATATTATTATAAAAATTGCAGACCATGCCACAACCCCATATGCTTCGTTCTCTTGTAGTCGAATTTTGAATTTAAATTATTTTTATCATAGTAAAATATTATATTAAGAACTTATTATACTAAAATTAATACTTGCTTGAGTCGAATGTAGTATATTAGTAATTATTTTTACCCACCCTCTAATTAACTGAAGTCTTCGCAGTTTCACATACACCGTGGTGTCCTTAACTCCCTCTAATAAACTAACTAGTGTATGAAAGATATTATGTGATATTTTCATTGCGATTTTTCATGTGACTAATGAGATATATATATTTAAGTAAGATTTCATTTTATCACGAATGATTCGAAAGCTCGGCTGGGTTCACTTTAAATACTACTCAATGAAATTAAAAGAAGTTGCTTATGAATAAAATTTTTTAATTGTGAAATTCTGTGTCTCTGTGGTCGTGCTGTTCTGCTACAGGAATTTATTTCTCAATCGGATTATTAATTATGATAAAATCTTATCAACCTTCCGGTAGTCTTTATTACTTTTCCAATTAAATTTTATATGTTTATCAAAGTCAAAAAATAAAAATAAATTTGAAATAGTAAATTTCCTCTAGCCAACTTCTGCTTATACACTCCTTCAAGTAACTTTGCTAAGAATAATAGTAATAATTAATTTTTTATTTATTCTATTTGTATAAAGTATACAAATATAATGTTAGCACTGGCTGCCAGGGCCTACGGCTCAAATAGTAATAACTATTACCAGTAATTTCATTTCCACGCTGCCAAACCAAACAAAATACTGCCTTATCACAATTCCGATGTTATAACATTTACCTACCATAAATAGAATTGCATATGTGAGCATCGATAGTTTTTGTATAACAAATTTCAAAAGTTCATGGATTGCAAAAAAAAAATAAAGGCATTGTTCTTATGAAATAATGTCTAATACAAGTATAGTTACGTACCGTTACGGAATCATTAAAAATATTGTAGACGTGTTTTGGAGTGTCTACTTTATTACGAACATAAGTATTTGAGTAGCACAAAGCATTCAGGGAAGAACGTGAAGCTATCGAAAACTTGTCTTTTGCGATTCGTTCATTCTCCTCTATTAATGACGATAACAACGAAAAGGTTTAAGAAACGTGAAAATTGTCGTGTTGGAATATGGAATGAATAGAATCTTAATATGTTTTATGGATCAATTCAACACATTTTGTTGCATGTTTTGGGTATAAAGCGTATCAGTGCATGACCTTTACCAAACGACTTGAATCTGTTGCAAAACCGATGTTGAGTAAAGGTAAAAAAAAGATATGCTTAACAATGTAACTGAGGATCCTACTTTCATCAAACGGATCATTAATGGCTCGCAACTGTTCAACAGTTTACCTAATGGAACTAAAAAAATTTGCCCAAAGAAAATTTCCAATAAGCCTTGGCATGCTTGTATTGGTGCAGACTCGCCTATTTTGAAGGCGATAATAAAGATTCGTATTAAAATATGTTAAAATGTATTTTTCTTGTCAGTCCGGGTCATATTTGATCAGATGGTATGCAGAGAGAAAGAGAAATAACTATCATCAGATAGTGAACAGATTCAGGTTTAACATCAATTCCTTGATATGCTATTTTCGGAGCTAACTAGAATAGTGACTAATTCAAAACGATGAATTCGTTATTATGGTAAGTCGCACAAGGCGTCTCGTGAAAATAATTGGATATGCTAATTACTCATCACGCGACCCTTTCAACATGACACTTTTTTAGGCTTGCCGCTCCATCGATAATTACACCTGGCTAAGCAGGCTCATTAGCGAGATTTACAAAAAAAAAAAACGAATGTTACAATCCCCAGTGTTTTGTAGCTCCTAGTTTATTTTATGGTATAAAATATAAATTTATGTCAATAGCAACAACAATATAATTGAGTTCAATATTAATGCAACTAATAAGTGTACATCTCACAAAGCACAAAGCACAATTGTCGAAAAAGAACAAAGCATGATTTGTGCTCGTATTTGTAATGTGTGTGCGTCGACCCAATAAAAACACACCCCAGAAACACATATTGAGTCAAATGCATCAACACAGCATATGTAGAATGTAGGGTGTACAAGTGGCGGTGAAGAGCGGCAACACTACAAGCGAGGCAAAGTATGACAGATGGATTTTATTGCTAAATGTCATGCAATGCCGGGGCGGTGAAAGTTGCGAAAGTGGCAAAAAAGCAAAAGTACATGGCTATGAACGTGAGACAGGCAGCGCCAAGTTGGCCGTAAGATGAATGGAAAAGTAAGCTCGAAGCACAGTGAGTGAGGTCGAGAAGGAGCGCAATGGGCATAATGTCACCAGCGTGAAGAATGTCAGGACCAAAAGTGCTGTCGCATAATGAGCAAAATAACTAGAGAAAATAATAATAAAACAAGAGCTAAAAAAACAATATTTCTCATCGATTTTTTGCTTATTTTGCCACTGCAAATGCAGCGCATGCGCATGCGTGATAGCTTTGTGTATTTGTTTTTGTTGTCAGCAAAGCTTTCACAGCACTTTCATCACACACTGTGCTTATTATGCATACATGTGTGTATATATTCGTTTGCATGCGCTCACAGATTCTCCGAAATCTCAGCTCTCCAAGCGTTTTACGATGATTACTTTTCCACTTTGACTAACGGATAGGCATTGTGTCGGGTTGCCGTTTAAACATTTCGCAATACACACAACATACTCATATTGCCCGTGGCCGGAACGGTGCAACGGACGAGAGTATACGAAAAACGGTGCAAACTAAAAAAATTTTATAGTTCAACTAAAAACTAAACTAATCAACAGCAAACTAATATTTTCTTGCATTAATGCTATAAAAAAGTGTAATCCATTAGAGGGCGCTTGTGTGTGTATGTGTGCGTTTAATCGATAAATGAAAAAAGTGTGATTCGACAGAGATTGGCATGCTATTAACGCTGCCATACGTGGAGGTATGTGGAGTAATGTGTCAACAGCAGTACTTGCTTCGGTGCAGCTGTACGAAGTGCTCGAAGCGCTAGCAAATCTGGCAAATCTGTGGAACGGTACACCGCGATTTGAGGTTTTGTCTTTGACCTCCATTTTACAATATTGAATTTCTGGGTCCACTACGCAGCTGTGTGTCGGTGCGTAATTTCATTGTGTCAAAGTCGCCGCAATCCTTCAATGGTCTTTCATGCATGTGTGTATGTGTTTGTGCAGCCATTACTAAACTGATTAGCCACAAAAATTTAGTGCTCAATTAAAATTTATGACAGATGAGCAAAGAAGACACAGCAGATTTAACGCGCACGAAGCCTAAAATAGTCATCAGCTACGCCAACTAACTGCCCGAAAGCGGAAAAATCAATAATTGCAACATTTTTCACGAACATCAGAACGCCAATATGAGCGCGATTAAAAGTGAACGATAGTAAAATAAAAGTGAAAGTGTGTGTTAGAGTGTCAAAAATCGTAGGAAGTAGAAGCAGTTATATAAGTTCGAAGAAAATTTGTGGTGTAGGTGCGGTTTTGACAGTTGCACCAATTTCTACAACAAACGCACGCGTGCTGCTCTGCGCGTTTGTGTGTATGTGTGTCTGGGTCAACCATATGCTGCAATCGATTTACATGGCCGCAGCAATAACACAAATTCATTGAGGCGCTCGTTTCGCTACAACAATAACATAACAACACCAACATATATGCATATATACACAGGTAGAAGTTTCACCACACCAATAACGACGACGACGACGCCTACGCGAACTGTCAACGACGAGTAGTTTGCAGAAATTTCCAGTGCTGGCAATCTTAAATTATACTAATAACAGCCACGAGAAGCTAAGCAGAAATAGAAATAGAAATATCAAACCACAACAACTCAAACAAAACAAATTCTACAACCAATTTAACTGCCAAGCACTTAACAGTCGCACATCGCCGCAGCTGACGCAGAAACTTTAGCCGACCTCGCCGCCACAATGGGTAAGAAAAAGGTGCCGAGTGAGGACCTAATTGTACCGCCACAGGATCAGCGCATATGCGGCACTATTTGCATATGCCAAATGACGCTCGTGCTCAGCTCGGTGGCGCTGGTCTATCTAACGGTCGCCATTTACATGCCGTCGACGCGCGCCTTCAAGAGCGGCATCGATCCAACGCCCGTCATGTGCACCACCACGCGCGCCGTCAACAAGGACAACTGCGAATGGGGCTCGTGCGGCGAGTGGTGTCTGAGTAAGACGTCTGGCGCCTGCATACAAATCTACGTGAATCTACGTACCAATGGCACCAATCTTACCTTTCAGAATTGCACGAATTCAGCGAATAAGACATGCTACGGCATCGATCAGGACCGCGCCGATAAAGCGCGCTGCATAAATGATGAGTGCAAAAATTTAACGGGTACATTTAATTGTACCGAAGGTCAGTGCTTAAATATAACCGATGCGTTCGAGTGTGTTTTCAAAAATAGCGATTCGCCAGTTAAGTGTTCGGGACGACGGGGGAAAATCAATTGTATGGACATAAACGGTTTATTTTCATGTTCTCGCGGCACGTGCCGCAAAATACGCACCCCCTACAATTGTGACCGTCGCTGTGTTGACATACCGACACGCAATAAGAATGTGGTGGTGTTGAGTGGCGATAAAGTGTATTTGTCGCAATGTCAAAATGCCATCAATGCAGAGACTAATGAGGAAGTGTGGAATGAATCCGCGGATAATGTTGTAATGGCCTCGTGTTATTTCATTAAAAACACATCAGATCGGGTGGAGGCGTTGGATTGCATTAACGGCTCAACGCTAGAACACAATATGCTCACGGATCTCACCAATTTCACGTATTTAAGTCATCTGCACATATCGGTTTCAGTGCCAACGCCGGAGATAGCGCCACCCGATTTCGATTTGACCATTTCGAATGAGTCGAAGCTCATGATCAATCTGGAGGGTTGCGTGAATACGCTAATGGATGAATGCAAGGAGTTCTTGAAGGATTTCGGACGTGATGGCAGCGATCATAATGCACGCGCGCGCTTCCCTTGCTTCTACTCGCCGTCGAAGAAAGAAATTGTCGTGGCACGCTTCGACTTGGAGGTCACCTATCGACAGTTTGTTATCGCCTCGGTTGTGCCGTCCGTCTTGTTTGTGGTGTCATGTCTGGTCTTGCTGCTCTGCCAGAAGACCGTCTATGTGGGTGATGATGCGAAAATGCGTTTCAAGGGTTGTGTGGACACGGACACGATATTGGCGAAAAATAATATTGGCTCACAAACAAACTTGGGCGATACTGGTGGAGGCGGTGGCGACGACGTAATGGCACTATGAGATCCGTCACGTAAGCATGCAAATGATTGTTGTTTTTTTTTGTTTTGCTCTTTAAGAGCCAAAAGCAATTATCATCTCACAACTTGTGTTCTTACACAAATTTGTTCAGCTTAAATCGATATGTAAATTGTAATGCTTATTTTACACTTGCAGCATACTTTCAGCTACATCAACGTGGATTGAGACCTGAAAGTTCGAATATTTATCCACATTTTTGAACATTTGTGCTGTTGTCATTGTCTGTAAGCGTCGTTTATGATGTAGGTTCGCAATGACCCTTTGTGAATAACGGCATTTAATTGTAGAAACAACGCATACACGCATATTTAGTTGAATTCGATTTGTGTATATTGTTAGCTTTTTGTGTGATAGCTTAGATCTTTCATAAAGTAAAGAACATATTTTCCTAGAACTATAATCGAAAGTGTTCGACTTTTTATAATATTTTTGTATACTCGATTGCTTAGCTTTGTAAAAAAGCTTAGAGTTTTTAACCAGTTTAAATTCGAAACGTATATATTCCTTGTAGTATTAGAACATTTTATAAAAACTTTTTACTCATTCCACATAATGCAAATTTTGTACAAAAGCTTAGAGATTTCATCAATTATAATTTTTTCTTGTCAGTATCCAAATAAAAGCTATGAAGCAAGGTCATAGGCATAAAATCGGATAAGAATTCTACATTCAGCTCCTGTAGTCCTTGGTTAAATTTCAGCTATACACTCAAGATAAGCAAATATCGTTCTATAAAGTGAAATCTTCTTTTTTCATAAAAATCACTTAATTCATTCATTCCAAAAGCAGTCTAAGTATTTTTAGTTAAGTGTGTTTAATTTTTTATATGATTTTTCATGAAAGCTTAAGAAAAAGAGCTTTCACAATAAATGCGATATTTAGATGTTTCAGTAGTGACTAAAACGACGGTTTAATGTTACATTAAATATTCAGCTAAGTTTATATTTGTTACAAAGCTTTAAATTTTTATTTTGTGTGAAAGCTTTAAGCTCTCAATATGCATTTTCAGCGGAATTTTTTTGTGAACTATGAAATTTATTCAAATATTATATTACATATAGTTATTGAGATGTCGGTTGTGTTATATTATTCCTCACCAAAAGTATTTTATTGGCTCTTTGAAATCTTTCTTGAGCTTTTAATGCCGCTATAAAATTTCAGTGGTACTCTTGTTTCTGAATAATAGATTCTGAGCGCGACTTCTCCGCCCTCTTGAGATATATAATGGGATATGGTCATTATGTAAGAACAAAATCTTTTTGGTCCGACGCATGCCATAATAGGTCTAGGGAGCCTATTTTGCTCTATAAGACAACGCTACGCTTGTGAAAAATTTGGCTTGATCTCTAGTGGTGAAATAGACAAATGGTGCAAAAAATTACTTAATCACTTCTGTCTTTACTATTCCGCTTATGCTATGTTAAAGTTGGGGCACCTGTACTCTTATTTATAAAACCATCCACAGGAATTACCTGGTATTGAAATTAGTTGACTCAACAGGTTTGTGGAGGCCTCTGGACATTTGTGGATATATAGTGTATAGTTTAATTGTTTCCAAAAAGTACGGTATAAAAAAGGAATATGTCTGAAATTATCTAAGTTTAGTCCCAAATCGCGAATCAGTCGTAACTAACCTCACCTTATTTATAAAATTTTTAATACCTTATAACGCCCCGTCAATTAGTTCGCCCAACCAAACTTTATATGTATATTAAAACCGTTCAATATACCCTACCCCACTGATATTCTATCGAATTGGAATTAATTTTGAAAAATATAAAATTCAATTTTAGCAACTATTTTAAAGACTTAGTTTATGTAAAGTCGGTAAATTTCTAACTCCCCCAGCAATTTTAAATATTTACTTAATTAGTTGTGAATATAAATAAATTTTTGATCTTAAATATTTTTTCTTAAACTTGTTTGGCACTAACAGTTGTATTTTCTCAATTTTCTAGGCATTCCTCTGCTCCAAGAAGACAGTCCCGTACATCAAGCCGGCGTGTTTGTCATGCAATAAAGCAGCAGACAGTCCAGTAGTAACAAACAACAACAACAACAACACAAGTTGTACAAAAGCACACTCACTTCACCAACTCAAATCAAAAAGAAACCAAGAAAATTTTACATAAAAAATTTAAAATATTTTAATCAGCCCAAAAATAAAAACAAACAACAATTTCATTCAATTTCACTCCCGCAAAATGCGCTTGCAAGCATCAAATAAAAATATATTATAAATTAGTCAAATAATAATTATGTACCACAAACAAACCACAGAGAGCAAATAATTTATGCAAACCACAATCAATTGCGAGTAAAAAACACAAAAACAAAAAACTTAAAAAATAAAATTGCTGCAAACAAATTTTTGAATATATTCTCGAAAGCAAATATGCTGTATTTTAAATTAATATTTATGCGCACGAAAGAATTAAGAACAACAATTGACGGGACATAAAAGTCTTGAAAAACTTATTCATTCAGACAATATTAGATTTACAAAAACAAAAATAAAAAGAAAACAAAAACTTACCAAAATAAATTCAAAGATTTGTAAGTACTCAATTCAATGTTGTAACCCCAGCAAAAAGCAAAAAGCAAAAAAGCAAAGTACATTCCATTTATTGTTTAGAATATATGAAAAATATTTACAATTGTTTACTACAACTATGTTAAAACAACAACAATGCAAGGCAAATATTTATGTGTTATTCCATTTGCATTATATGTATATTAGTTAAAGATCTATATTCAAGCGCTTATTGCACTAATTTCGTATAAACGGGCACTCAACACACTAATATTTTACAACAGTAACTCACTTACACACACACATTTATACACCAGCAACTCACTTGTTATGGAAAGTCAAACGGTTTGGAGGGATGCGTGATCAAACAGATATATTCAAGCAAATTTTGGTACAAACAATAACAAAATATATGAAAAATTAACAATAACATACAAAGAGACGACAAACTAACCAAACAAATAAACGAACGTTAAACGAAGAAAACTAGCAAAAGAATAGATAAAAAAAAGAAATTAAAGAAAAACGAACACAACAAACAGACTTGGGCCAGATATAGAAAAAAAAAACACAAATAGGCATGAAAAAAAGAAATTAGATAAATTACCGTTCAAATTAGTATGAAGTGTGTTTAGTGAATATCGAATATTAAATTAATTAACTTAAAAATAGAACAGAAACAAGTATCATAGAATTAAAAAAAAAAAAAACTCCTGACATGTTACGAGAACCAAGAACTTGGACAAACTGAAAAGCAACTCTGTTAATAATACGTCAACAAACACACAAATAACTGAACCTATAAATAGCGATCATTAGTAGCGCACGAACAATCGAACCCACACACACAGACAGAAAACTACAAACAACCAATAGCTGCAGTCAAGACACAAACTGTGGAACGAACCACAGACACACACCAGCAGTCGAGTATAACGCAGCAAGATGAAGAAAAGTTCGACCGCTACGACAACAATGTCATTACCGACCAGTCCGACAATTTCGGCACACACTATAACCGGCAGTAAGCTAAGTTTAAGCAGCACAAAGACAGCGACTTCGGGGCGTTCGAGCCGTACGAGCCTGCAATCGCCACAGAGGAAGAAGAGCGATCTCGAATTGGAGTCGATACTAGAGAAGGCGAAATTTTACACATCGTTGTGCCTTGGTGAGTTTGATAAATGGAAATGAGAAGTGATTTTTAGTTATTTCCAAAGCAATTATCAGATCTCTCACTATTATCTGGTATTTGATAGAATTATATGTATACTCGTACATAAATTGAAACTCCAATTTTACAGGAACCACTGCAATTCTGTCGGTTTTTGCATTCCTCTTTTTAATACCATTCGTCGTGGATCCAGCTATATCGACAATAATTGCAGATTATGATCCCGTACCAGTTACATGTATTGTCATTGATCATGTCTACGCGGAAGGCATAAGAAATTGTTCGTGGAGTTCATGCCGCGAGGGCTGCACGTCATCACTCACCAAGTAAGTATTATGTTTATATATGAGCGAATCGAGTCCGATTCTTACAGCATTTAAAATACTCTTTAGTCAAAATAACCAGAAAAACTTACTAAAATCTGTTCTAGACCACATTATAAGTCTTAAAAATTCATTCCATCGAAAATTTACATTTAAAATTTTTTTTCGTACAAAACACTTTTTTAAAATCATCGAGATACCTGACGGCACAAAAGAAGTTGTAATGAACTAATTATTTTTTCTCGCAACTCCCAATATAAATTATATAATAATTTCTTCCTTCATTGTTCTCTCAGGTGCCATCAGTTGTACGTCAACTATACACGCATTCCATTCATCGAATGGGAGAAGAATCCACATGAGCTGGATAAGGTGCAATGGGATGTCAGTTATACGAAATTTCTCATCAATTCGGAAGGTTGCGGTTATCCACCCACAACGAATTGCAGTGTCTTTGCGCGCCAATATGGGTGAGTCATAAAAATATATATATATATTTCAGTAATTTTTAACTGTATAATTTGCATTTTTTCTCAATTGTGTGATCTCGCTCTTTCTTTCAATAGCTACTCGCACATTGGCGAACCATTTCCCTGTTATTACAGTCGTGCCTACCCGGAGGTGGTGATCGGTCGCTACTCGTGGGAGAACAATTTGTATCATCTCGTGTTGTCGCTTATCATACCGAATGTTCTATTCGCCATTTCGATTGGTGTGCTCAGCTATTGGTACTGCCCCTGTTGCGACAAAGCATGCAACAAATCATCGCGGGTCTATGCAGAGAAATTTCCCTCGAAGGAAGAGTGAGTTTGAAAACCAACTTGTTAAATAATAATTAATCATCACAACCAACTACTTACTTACCTAACTACCTACTACATCATCAAACACACATACATATGCTCCTATTCCCTCAGTATGCATTACTACTAATTACATATTGTATCTTAAGTTGTTGTAATGGACGTTAATTACTATTTACAAAAACAAATGATGAAGAAGCAAATGAAGAATAAAAAGAAAATATATATTAATAAGCATAGCTATATCAACTGTACCTGCATAAAAGAACTTTTGTAATTTGGAATGTTTTTTCGAAATTGATTACTGCATTCGTAAATGACTAGATACTCGTTGCATACATATATATTTATTTACATATTTTCATGTGTAGCAAACATAGACATATATTGATACATACCTACTTTATATTATTGTAGTAAATGCGGTTGTACCGTTAAGCATTCATATTTTTATCGATTAGTTACTTGAGTTTTATGCAAATTATCGTAATGTAATACAATTTTTATAGTGAAGAATGGCATATCCTCCTAATACATACTTATATGATTGAGTATTTTGATTTATGAAGAAGTGGAAGTAAGCATGTACATACATATTTGAATCGGTCAAACGATTTTTAATGAAAAAATGTATTTATTGTAATTTTTTAAATTGAAATTGTGATTATTTTGCATGTTCTTAATTCTCGTACAAGTATATACAAGTATTTTCTTGTATAAGTACTTTCTACAATTTTATTGGCAAGCTAATTGACGTTATTTTTGTTGTATTTATGTTGTCAAAATTAACAAAAATTACATTTTTCCCTCTACTCCTTTCTACTTTCTCTTTTTTTTCATACCTACTCTCTCTGAAATTACTCATTTTTTACTCGCTCCTAGTATGCTCGTTATTGTCATTGACTTTAGTGAATTCATTTAGGACCGACTTTTAACTGACAAACAAAATCGAACTAAAAAACAAAAACAAAAACAAAGTTTACCAATAATGTATGTAATGACCGTTTACTATTAACAAATATTTACAGGATTGTTAACTGCATGAATTGCAAACCGGAGAAAACGTTATCCCTCAGTAATTTTTAAGTGAAATCTATGCAAGTGCCTATTGAAACCGTTTGATATGAATTTAAATAACCGCTAAACGCAAAATAAAGCTTTAAAAATTATTATAAGTACAGAAAATTGCAAATTTATCGTATAAAAATAAATAGTTCCATATACTTTTTGGATTACTCGCGCACATTTTTTAACCCTTGCTAGCTAAATATTGAAATTTTAAACATAAACTACTAATTTAGAATGTAGTACGCGTAGTCTAGTTAAATGGCACTTATTTGAAAAAGTAGCGCACATAAACTTATTAAAATAATAATTAGAAAACTTGTTCTTAAAAGTTATATTTGTGAGCGATAAATCCACATTTAGCAGTAGTTAGCATTTTTGAAGGATTTTTTGTTTATGTTCAACTTTATATTGACGAAGAGTCAAAATCTTCGCCAAGTCCTTATCCAATTGCGAAATCGTCAAGTTTAGGAAAAACTTTATCAGCTTTTTAATAAATTGATTGATTCGTAATCAGCTGATGCAATGACGTCACGTTAGCATAACAGTTTTAGTAATAGCTTTTCGCTAAGGAACTTCTCTCGAAGCAATTTGTGTGTACTTTCTAACAACTTTTGAAAATATCTATTAAAATGTTAATTAAATCTTAATAAAACTTTAACTTTCAATGCTTTGAGACTTTGCATTTTGGCTTTAAAAAAAAATAAAATTTAGAAAATAAACACTTCAGAGTAATGTACCTGTTGAATAGGGTAAACTCTATCAATAATTTTAATGAGAATATTTCGCAGTGTATCTTATTTTACTTTTATGTTTATGAAAAATGTTAAAAAATATTTTTATTTCATTAAGTTAAAAAATTATAATGCATATTTTGTAATATTTTTTAATAATTTCTTGAACAACAAAAATATTGTCAGTAATTAGAGTACTTTGAGAATTAAATGTTACGTGTAATAAATAGTATAAAAATTGATTTCGCAGATTTTCATTTATTATGAAATTATTTATGTTCAAAGTCAAGTGGCAACCTCATTAAATAATCAAAAAATCTGCCACGAAGTTGGTAACAGCTCAAAGGAAACGTCGAGACCCTATAAGATAGGTATGCGCATATATAAATAATCAGCGTGACGTGTTGAGTCGATTTAGCCATGTCTGTATGTCCGTCTGTATACGCGCACTACATAGTCCCCCGGTATTTTAAACACCGATCTGAAATTTTACACACGTTCTTTTCTTCTCAAGAAGCTGCTGCTCCACATATGGCTGCAATACAAGCTGACCGATCAAAATCAAAATAAAAATTTTATTATACCCTTTTATGCCATCAGAAATACACATGTGGAGGGTATTTTGTAACTTTGGTGCTAACGTGCGAAATAACTGGACTTGATTCAGGCTTTTTCCAACTATGTATTAGTTCACGTAATAAGATAGTAACAATCCTACCATCAATATTTGGATATGCATGACTTACTGGATGGATAGTGCTCCACTATATTGAAATTAACAAAAAATTATAATTTTTATGATTTCCATTTTTCATAACTTTGGAATTTATTATATTCTAAAATTTGTTTTTAAAATTATTTTAGTTGAAAATTTACCTTTTTTGCAAAAATAAAATTTATCAAAATTTAAAATAAATTTTTAATGATATCCACTTTTATAATTTTTGAGTATTATAAAGCCAAAACTTTTTTTTTTAAATTCTATTGAAAAAATATATTTTTCGCAAAACAAAAATCATTAATTGATTAAGTGTTGTTTTTTTTTTTTTTGTATTTTAAACTAAAAACATTTTCGTAATTGTCTGCCTGCGCGTAGTATTAATATTTCAAATCGCACTCTCTTTTTCGAACGACCATATATGTATTTTTGAGTTTCAGCATGTTTTAAAAGTACTTGTATAACTTAGATAGTAGAAACATTTCGTAAAATTTATTCCAGAAATCAGTAAATTCATTACTTGAATGTTACAAAACTGCATGCAAACCTGTAGACTTGTACGATTTGTCTGCCTCCCGTTTCAAAATACACGTGCAACAATTTTGCCTGATTTTCGTAAATAACCAAGCAGCCCAAAACACAAACACAACACAAAAGCAATAACGAAAAAAAAACAATAAAAAAAGCAAAAGCACACACAATTTTTCATGCATTCATTCGATTTCCGTTGTAGAAAACTTCTGTGTCAAAGTGATGACGAAGATGATATGGAATACTAGTGAACTAGAGAGTCTAGTGAAAGGCTAGATATACTCGTAGCATTAGAAAAGCTGCTTACACAACAACAACAGCAAAAAATCGTACTCGTACTCGTATTCGTATTCGTAGAAGGAATACAATGTAGAAAATCGATAGCCACATTTTGTATTCGTACACAACAGTTACAAATAAATAATAATATTTACCTACTACGCTCATACACATAGTACTTATATACATATACATACTATATGTAGATAGTTAAATATGGCGGTGTGTATGTACTTATACATACATATTTAGGCATCATTATAGCTAAACGCATTCGTGAGTGTACTACAGCTATGTGCATACATATATATAGCAATATTTATATTAGGGTGCCCAAGTTGGTTAATTTTTTTTTTTCGCCAGCATCTCTTGCAGTTTTAGCTTCTACCCTAAAAGTAAGGTTAAAATGTAAACAAGCTTTTTATTTCAATATAATATGTAATGAATTTTTGATATTTTGCATTAAGCAAGTAAATTTATAACTTTGAAACAGTTATCTTCTAATGCTAAATTTTCTGCTCCACAAAACAGGTCCCGATGCATTTGTCCATTAAAACATTGCTTTAAAAGTTATACGCAGTCAAAGCTATACATCAACTGTAAAACGCGTTCATAGAAGCGATTTGTGTATTCTGTGTTGCTCATACAACATGGTGTACCATATGAATACAGTACTTTTGCTGCATAACTTTAAATATCGTGATTATAACTTTTAAAGAAATGCTAAAAAAATCAATTTGGAAAATAATGGACACCCCAATGTATATGTATGTATGTATGTATGTATGTTTGTCTACGCATTTGTATACATAACAGTATTCGCAATTTGCTAAGTAAATAATAAAAAATTGACAATTCGTACTGTTCTCCTCCTCCCCAATAGCGCTAAACACAAGAGCAAAGCAATAGTCTGCCGCAAATCCAAAAGTATTTACATAAGTATGTATGTATTATGCTTATTGCAAACTCCAGAGCAGTATTTGTGCTACTTATTTGTTAAAGCTTTTGGAATTATTTTCGAATTTGCAATTGCACTTGAAGTAAAATTTGATATGCAAATGCTAAAGCACGATTTGTAAAATAGAAAAACAAAATTTATATAAAAATTTATAAAATAAAATGAAATAAAATATTGTAGGGCTTGTTTTGCATTTATATTATTAATATAAAAGTGTCATACAAATAAATATAAGCTAAGTACAACACACATATGTATGTTTGTAGCATAAGAGAGTACATATGTAAGTACGTCGACAGCTTTATTTGAAAAACAAAAAGAAAAACGAAAACAGCAATTCAAAATATATTCGTATATATGTATGTATTAAAATAGCAAATTACACACTTTTCTAATAAAAGTTTTGAATTTACGGAAGCTTTTTTTCGCGAGCGAAGGCAACAAAAGCAAGTGCATGATCGAAAAAATCTTTTTTTCTACTCAGCAAGCTCAGGTACCGAAAGCAAGTGCAAGCTCGAAAAAGGACTATTTTGCACAGCAAACAAAAGTACCGAAAGATTGTAAAAGCTCGAAAAAAGTTTTTTTCGCTCAGCAAGCGAAAATACCTAAAGCTGGTGAAAGCTCTGCTTCAAGTGGAAATGGTAGAAGTGAAAGCTGCACATTTCGTTGTAAACAGTTTTGCACTCAAATATATCAACTGCTGTTTAAGTTTATAAATGCAATTAAAATAGATATATTTTGTTGTACTCTATATTTTTGTTAGTAGAAAATGTTTTGCTGAAAATTATAAAAATTGAAATTATGTAACTATATGTTGAATTTGACTTAAAAAGGTTATTTATATATATATTGAAAGACAAGGATTGTGATAATAGTCATAATTATTATATGTTTTGTGTTCTCAGCGTGTTGTACACCCTAGAAAATCAGACTTTTTTATTGTTGAAAATGTTGTAAGTAATGTAGGAATGAAAGACATACGCCGATTTGCTGAGTGGGTGTTGCATATAAGTAAAACAGCAAATGAATTGAAAAATATGTACTTGTAAGGTTTGAATTGTAATGTAAATCGAATTTGGCTTAAAGAGTTACTTAAGTTTAGACTAGTCAAATATGTAGCATTACAGTTAAGGTAAAATGGTAAATATACTTATGTATCATACTGTGTTAAACAATAATACAAAATTAACGACACATACATATACCTAAAACAAATTTCAGTTTCAGCAAATGTGTAAGCAAATATTGTACGATTTTTATCTTCCCAAAAATGTACCTTTCGAAAAATATTTTGAAAATTAATTTTTTTTTAACACTAAACAAGTACCTTCCAGAAACGATTTTGAAATATTTAATAATTTAAACAAAATTAATTTTATTAAACTTGTGCAAACGCTTTAAAATTCAATTGAATTGAAGCGCGCAAAAAATCATGAAAACATTGTATATATGAATATGTGCTTAAAAGGCTTTGCTAAAACTGTTTGAAAAATAAATTTTCATAACATAAACTTAATAGCAGCTTATTAAGCTAAAGAAAAAACTATAATTGCAATAAAGTGGTCCAATTTTGTTTTAGCTAACTGCTTTAAAAAGTAAAAGCTTTAATTTTTTACTACAAAGATTATAGAACTCGAGGTTATACCATTGTGCACATAATTATTTAATGGATTTTTTAAAGAATTTAGTTATGATAGAGGCGTGGTCTACAAGACAGGAATATAGTGATATTATCTTTGCTCTCTGCGCTCTTTCTTCGTTTACTTCATTCTCTGATATAGCTTGAAAAGAAATATGAATAATAAACTCCTAGTAGCCTTCCTCTGTTTTGTCTCCCGTTACACTATGTACTTAGCCTAATTGGCCAGTTGTTGTCAGCATGATCAGTTGCGTTTTCCTGTATAAATTAGTAAATCAAGTAAAATTACAGATTTATGTGAGATTACAAAAAGGTCTGCATTGAGCTCTTATCTATATTTGATGAACATATTCGAGACTCGATCAATTTTACCCTATAGTTGAATAACCTAAACTATTTTTAAATACTTGTATATATAGAGAATTACCAAATTTTTACTCAAAAACTCGAAGACAATTCGAGTGATTCTGCTGGAAAAATTCGAGACCCGATCAATTCTATTTAAAAACATCAAAATAGTTACCTAAAATACATTACCAGATTTTTACCCATTACCCATTACCAGATTTTTATCCAAGAATTCCAGTTATTCTGGTGTACATATTCGAGACTCGATCAATTTTACTGTAAACACCATCTTACAATTAACAAGTACAAATTACTTTAAAATATATTTATAGAATTTTCAGATTTGTGATAAAAACTCAGAAAAATTCCAGTCATGCTAATGAACAGTTCGAGACTCGATCAATTTTATTCTACAGTTGAAAAACTTAAAATATTTTACAAAAGACTCAGAGCCAATTCGTGTTATTCTGATGAAATATTTAGAGAATCGATCGGTGTATATATATTACTTTCAAATATATTTAAAGAATTACAAAATTTTTTATTCAAAAACTCGGAAATATTTCCAGTTATTCTGATAAACATATTCGAGACACAATCTATCTTAGCATTCAATAAATAATAAATAAATTATTTTAAAATATGTTAAGAGAATTGGCAGACATTTACTCTAGACCTACATTATATCAGCTTAAGCTATTTTAATATGTTGCAACAAATATAAACTCCTTAGACTATGGAGGTACAATACGGAAATAATTTTCTAATTTGATAAATATTTAAAACATTTTTATAACTCAAATGCAATAGAGCACAAACACTTTTCATTCGAACTGTTAAATTTGGAAAGAGTAATAATTGTGCACAAGATACAACCTCGCGAGTTCTGTATAAATATTCAAAGATTACAATACAAAATAGCAAACGAATCAAAACTCCTTATAAAAGCCTCTTCATTAACTGAAAACCACAGATGATGCATAAAATTCCATTATAGTTTTCACTTTGTCCTAATTGCAAGGATTTGCTGTATTAATTTATTTTTTAATGAAACTTAAATTGTACTGAATTTTTTATAATTTATGAACAGACTTTTTCCCAAAGACTTTAATAGCGTCGACGCTATTAATTCTTGCCTATAGTAAGCAAAAGCTAAATAAAAAATAACATTCACTTCAAAACGTTTTGCAATACCTACCTGCATACCAACACAAATACAAATTGTAACAAATCGATACAGGATTATATTTACAAAATAAAAAAGTAAAAATAAAAATATTTTTCTTCAGCGCAAAATTGTAAATCTTCAAATAAAGATAATGGCAATCGCTAAATAAAATTCAAATAAAAAATAAATTTGTTTAACTAATTCATCCATTAAGGAAACTATTGTAATATGCGGACAAACATGAGAAAATGTGTAAGTATAATGGTTTTAATGATTTCAGTCTCTTTTATAAGTTTGAGCTCATATCGCAAAAGTTACGTATACGCCGCGTACCGCCAACGATATAATAATGAATGTTGCGTGCTTTTAACACTAATAAAACTATTGATTCTTGGCATATAATTATTGCACGAGAAATTTTATTTTGATTTTAGACATACACAGATATATTAAGTATTGCGCTTATACAAAATTATTGTGTTTATACTATAGATCGGGAATAAAAGTGTTTGTTGCTAAAATGGCTTGCATTTTATCTGCATCTTTATGGAACTTGGTACAGGAAATATTCATAAAATAAAATAAATAAAATTACAAATACTAAACATTTTTTGGATTAATTGGTAAATTGACGCTCAATTGGAATTTCATTAATTATTTATTAAAGTTGGGATAACTGGTTTAGACTGTAAGGATCCCAGTTTGAAGGTTAAAATAAAGATGTATATTAAAATGCTAGAATATAGATCTATTTTATTTTTAAGATGATGAAATACATCCCATGTTTTCTTCTAAAAACTGAAAATATCCATACACTGTCTGATCAAATTTGACCCGGACTGCCAAAAATAACTATATTTTCAACTATTTTACGATTAATTATCGTATGTAAAACAGACTCATGAACCAATATAAGCTTGCTAACACCTAATTAAATTTTCCACACACTTCTTATAAATTTCGGCTGGAATGGTCTTTAGTGACGTCAGAGAATTTTGTTTTTTCATGGTAAAAATCGCGAGACGAATTTTTCGCATCACTAATGACACATGGAGAATAAACTTCTCATGAACTTAAAAATTAATTTAAATATTTTCTCGATGTCCGGGTCAAACTTGATCAGTTACTATAGCACAAAAGCATCCTTAAACATTTGGCATTTATCTCACTTTGTAAGCAAATCCCAAACAGCTAAAAATAGCACTCAAGTATCATGTTTTCTTTTTGTTTTTGCTTTTATACTTATTTACTTTTTAATTATTTAATTGAATGTGCAATTTGTCCTTAATCTGTCACTGGTGAAAAGTGAGAAAAGGTTGGCGCAAAGCGACGAGGACGGCGCCAACTCGCCATGACAACATTGTTAATTTATTTTCTTGATTGCTTGCCATCTACACACACATACGCACAACCATGGAAAGATATACGAAATAGTATTTGTGTGTGGCTGTGTGTGCATTGCCAACAATCTGCAAGGCAAAACTGTTTTACTATTTGTCTGTCTCTCAACTGTTTGCTCATTTCTTCACTTGCGCATCATTTGCAATACACCTTGTTTTTGTTGTTATTGTTGTAAAATTAATGTGACCTACAAATGTACAAATATTGCTTGCACAGAGCCAATCTACAAGTATACACATGCATATTCACATCAACTCGAAACCGACGCGGAAACAATGAAGCGGAAGAAGCAGAGTAACACAACTTCCCTAGCAAATGGCAAGCGCCAACAAACAATCAGCACACAAAGCACCATGGCACCAGTGCAATCTACTTAAAAGGCATATGATGCTGATGACTTCACTACTGCCAGACCAGAGACTGCAGTAACAATTACGTCTCTAAGTGATTGTTATTGTTGGTGTAGCTCGAGTTGAGTGCTTGTAGTGTATGTGTGTGTGTGTGTGTGTAGTGTTGAATTTATGTTTAATTGCTTATATGGCTGCTTGCCTTTGAGATTTGCGCTTTCAACGCAATGAGATGCGACGCAAGTAACGCTGCAGAATTCAACTGAAAACAACAACAACAAAAGTAATAAAAAAATAAAAGTTATAAAAAACTAACAGCAGCGCTTAGCAAATACTTTGCATTCCGCGCACGTGTCGTATACTCTACATTCCATTTGGTTGAGAACAACAACAACAACAAGAAAGCACGCAACGGCTGCCAACGCTGCAAGCGACTCGAGCAGTGTTTATTAGCGCTAAAAAAGGAAATTTACATGCGTCCTCAGTGTATAAGTAATAGAAATGTTTATTTTATGAGTACAAAAAGTGAACAACAACAACAACTAGCAAAAAGAAACACAATCATAACCAAGCAAATAGTGTTGACCAGTCCTGTTTACGCTGTTGACATTCAGTATTGACCTTACTACGACGTCGCCTCTCAAGTATCAAGAAATGCAAACAGTACGCTCTGTGGACGCAACACTGATCAAACAATCTCCTGCTACGGATATGCATACGTTTCGGTAGTGTTGCCATTTTTACGCACAAATAGTAGATATATAAGAGTGGAATTTTTTAAAGTCTAATTTGGGGATGTATAAAAGAGCGCAATTTAAGTTTGTTAAGTTCTGAAAGAATAAAATTTAAAAAAGTTTGCAAGACTTCAATTTACTCCTAACTGCCAGATCGTCTACTTCCCGTAATCGATTGGGTGCCCAAATGGCGGTGGTCACCCAAGATCTCTGGCGGTATACTAAACCATTAAAAGGTTGCCTCATAATGAATAATTTGTTGCCTGAATATGCACTATAGTAGGCAATGGGATATAGGCACCAACAAATATTTTTCGAGTGCAACTAACGGAAAAATTAATAATCGGTGATTCTCATTCACTCATCACTCTAAAAATTTGGTTCTTACAACTATTTGCTCTTCTTATGTCGAGAGAAGAAGCTCAATAGTGATCACGTAGGTTAAAATTATCATAACCGACTTAACAAGTTAGGTCAATCTAGGATTTTTAAAACATCAATTTTTTTTTTTGGTTCACGGCACACTTTAGAGACGGTGCTCACAGAGAGAGATACGTGTTAATCCACTTGAAATTTTAACTATAGCTTCATATAAATTTTATTCTATATTTTTTTTGATATTATTGCAACTTCTTTTATAAAAAATGTATTGCCAATTTTTCGATTAAAAATTGAGCCTTCTTGTATAACACAGCCATTTTGTGAAAAACTTACGTCGCACAGGCTGTGGTGCATTCAAGGACGCAAGAATGGACCTGTAATTTGAATGCTGCGGTAGATGATCCCCTCATCCTGAGACTAAGAAATTCGGTTCCTGGTCATTGCTAGGTCTTTTTAGGGCTCTAGACTGACCTAACACTTTAAGAACTTATATGATGTACTGCAATAGAATTCTTTTCATATATATTGTAGGGTTATTAATGATGAATTTGTATTGTTATATATTTTTATACACGTACACTAAAGCGGGTATAGAACACCTCCAGACATTATTTAAGTACAAATGTGTTAATTAAAAAATGCGTTTTTTTTTGTGAGATCATTCTTTTACCGAAAACAGCTATGTTGCAAAAATTTCGAAACTCCATTTTTTTCTATTTTTGGTTTAAAATAAATAAAAGATGAATTCAATATTAAAAACTTTGTTTAGCTTTTAAAATTAATAAAAGCTTTTTTTTTTTTTGCTTTCATTTATTAATAAACCTCACAGATATATTATGAGCATACCTAAATACTTGAAAATAATTCACAAATATAGTATTTGAAATATATTTTTGCATTCAAATTGTTAAATTTCAAACATTTTTAACTTAAAGTATACTTTTGTTCAACAAATTGTAAAGTTTCAATTATATTCTCCGTTACTCTCAATATACTTTAAGGCTCAATGTAACGGCAATTATGCTATTACTCCTTTTTCTGTTTCCTACCACCTCACATTTACTCACAAAACTCACTCACATTCGCACCGACTTCCTTTTTGCTATTTCTATAGGCAACGCTGGCAATGTTAATGACATTGTGAGCTTTGCGGACGAAGCTTTTGCCTTTGCTAGTCAGCGAAAGCGCGCGCTCAAGCACACACACACACCGAAACACTGAAAAGTGAGCGCATATTTTAGAAAGTGTGTGTCCTTCTGCAGCTGATAACCAAACGTGCTCGTTGAAGCCAGAATTACGAGCGTTTAGTCTCATTTAGATACTCGTCGAAAGCGGTTGTGTGCGAGAACGGCGCGCTGCCATTTTCCTCAACCGACTCAGAACGCGAGCACAACAAACATACCTTTAGCCGAGTCAAACGAAGAACCAACAAAAAATTAATGTTGAATTAAATTACCCCACACTCAACTAACTGTATATTCATTAATGGTGCAAATACTTGTGGATTCGTGCGATTGCGAGGGAAATGCAAAGGAATTAGAAATAAATGAAAGTATAATACAAATATAAGTGGCGCATTTCGTTAAAAAGCGAGCAGTACGAAATGATGATGTTAATAAGCATGCAATAGCAGTGCTTAAATAAACATTTATATGTGTTTGTATGAATATGTGCGTGTTTGCAACAGAAAAGAAATTAAATCGTGTAATAAACGCAGACGCTAGTTGAAAGAAATTCACATACTCCAAATATTTCGCTCGCTTCACCTACCCACCTACACTACCTACATACAAACACAGCCCCCACCAACTTCGTGGAGTAGGAAGTAATACGCGTTGCCATACATAAATAAATAGCACAGAAACTGAGCAGCGAGCCAAACAGTTAGGCAGTCAGTCCGCCAATTGGGTTGTGCCTACCTGGGTCTGTGTGCCAGCGTGTGTGCGTATGTGTGGTTGAAGTTTGGTGGCCTCACCACACAACATAAACTCATCGAAGGACTAAATTTGGCATTTATATGAAAGTAATTTAATTAAAAATGTTAATTATGCATTTATGTATGCATTCTATTTCTATGTATCTGTGTTTGGTGAAAATTTAAAAAATTCTGCTGACTAATTGTCCAAGTGTGTGAGTTTTTGTAAATGACATCAACAAGTAACAAAACAGAAATTTTACAAGCGAAAAGCAAAAAGATGCTGTAAAGCAGGGAACAATGTGCATTTAGTAAAAAATAATATAAATAAAGTAATATATATGTACATATTTATATAGTAAAAGCCTGTTATAGCAATCATTTAACAGTGAATAGTCGGCCAAAGGCAGACAGCACACATACAAACAAAAATAATATATATAAAAAATATTGGCTACACACAAAGTCAATGTGAAAGGCCACCTGTGAGTCACAATAATAATAATAACAACAGCAATAACGATTCATAAATATTTATACAAAGAAATCGTCATAAGGCGACAACGCAGCCACCTACATACAAGCGCATAACATACATAAGTAAATAAATACACATTTAACCAGCGTGAGTAACCCAATCGGCGACTAACGCTTATAGCAATTAAGAACCCACCTTATCGACTACGCGAACTGCCCCTACAGCCCACCTACGTATACAGTGTGTAATATCAACGCTTACGCCACAGCCTACACATGGGTCGCCGCAAAGATAAGCCGCGTCTCATACCGGAACAGGATAAGCGCATCTGTCGCGCCATTTGCCTCTGCCAATTGACCATGGTCTTGTCCTGTGTGTCCATCGTTTACCTAAGCGTTGCCATCTATTCGCCATCACTTAAGTGAGTAATCATTAGTAATTGCTTGCAATGCGACAGCATGTGGCGTCGCACGTACGCAACTTCTTATTGAATCCATTCTTATATGTACCATATATGTATATATGTATGTATATATTTACAAATATTTTTATCATTGTGTAAGTCAAATAATCGTAATGAGCGGTTTGCTAACCATTTTTTTGCCAAATTTAAGCATTTTCAACGCGTCTTAGAAATAACTATGTACCATCGATTGGATCCGAAATTTATCAATTTTTTTATTTCGAAGTCACAGTGGAACATTTGAAGCCGATTTCCATATTAAAAATAATTTCATTGCTAGTAATGCATTGATTTGAATATACTTAACGGTTGATTACAAAAATACATAAATAAAATTAGTTTTTGGATATTAACAATATACACAAATATATCTGTGTATAAGGGCTAGTAGATAGAAATTCATTATTATTGCACAAAACTGAAGGGTTTGCTTAGGATATTTAGAATTATTCGATTTAGCTTCAAAATGACACTCTCACAAAAACTTTTGCCTCTATCGATATTCACCAGCAAAATCATTCGCCATAGCCAGGAACAGATAATTGGTACTTGGTTCCAGGTCTGGACTATAAGAGGTAAGCACAAGAATCTCGCAACCAAGCGGTCGAAGTTTCTGGAGTCAATATCGATGTGTGTGGCCTGGCATTGTTCTGATGAAACACCATGTCTCTCCCATTGGTCGCTTCTGAGCGCTCCAAGTGTTGACAGTGCAGAGGCGAACTAAGAGTTTGGACGTACGGAAGTAGCTCATAGTTAATGATTTCCAGCCAATCATATTAAACATATAGCAAAACCTTTCTGACCTTCAATCCTGGCTTGGTCAGTGTTTGCGCTGGCTTCCCGGGATTCGAACATGACCAGATTAAGGCGAAAGTGACTCACTTTTCATCACCAGTGGATCGACATTGTTGCGATTCAGCAGCTAGATTTGCAGAAATTCGGTCCATCAGGTTTTATTATGGCACCCATACACCGAGCTTTTTTTGTATCGAACCCTATTTAAATAGTTCCAAATGGTTTTTGTACTTTGTTTAGTGGCTAAGCAATCGAAGTAGTGCTCGATGGTCGCAGCTGACGATTTCTATTATTTTCGGTCATTTGCCTTCCAGATCATTTGCCTTACCGGAACGGAATCGACAAAACCAAAACAGCGCATGATTACGCAATATCAGAACCACAAACACTATTCACATCCTCTCCCGCCCGGCTTATGTTTATGTCTTTATCGAAGAAAAACTGTTAAATATGATATCTCTTTGTTGGTGTCCATGTTTGATGCTTCCTTAAACATGTTCTGCTGGACACAGGACGATAGACAGATATCACGCGGACTACTGATTGAATTCATCACAGTTGCCAAGCCGAGGAAGGCATTTTAATTATACGCATGACCAAACAGATGCTACATTTTGTAGTTAATGGTTTTATTGTTATTCTGCAATCAACACGATATTATATAAAACAGTTTATCTGTCACATTATTCAATACTTAATATAAAGATTTTAGAACTGCCAGTTGACTTTATACCACATACGTGGTGTGTTCAAAGGAAAAGGTGAATTTTAAATTTTTTTTTTTAAGTACTTATTTATTCATCAATATCTATATTGCCCCCTTGAAAGTAACCCCCCTCGGATAAAATACACTTGTGCCAACGCTTTTCCCGATCCTCGAAGCACTTCGAAACAAACTTCATGCCCAAAACATTCGAGAAAATTGAATGTCAAAGGGTGTTGGCATATCAATAGGCTCATTGACATGACAATACCCTTTGCAACTTCCTAATAGTGATTTGACGATTTGCAAAAACAATTTTTTTCACATTTTCGATATTTTCTTCGCTTGTTGACCTGGTCGCACCGCCAGGATGTTTATCGTCATCAACATCTTCTCGGCCTTCTGTAAAGCGCTTGTACCACTTATAAACGCTTTTTTCATACAAAGTGAATTCACCAATTGCCACAGTCAACATTTCAAGTGCCTTGAAGCACTTTATTCCATTTTTAACGCAAAATTTAATACTAATTTGTTCCATTTCTTTCAAAAGTCCAAATCGAAGAGCACACAAAAACGGGACTAACCAATAACAAACTACTAATCGAAATTGGTTCCTAATGTAAACACATAATAAACATATGTGTCCAATTATAACAAAAACAAATTATCGACAATCGAATGTATACAGCCCGCGAAAAATCAAAGTTCAACGAAATTAAGAAAGCAAGTAAAATGGGGCGAAAACTTGCTTTAGCCCCCATATACATGATATTCATGATTTTGATATTTATATATGTAAAAAATTGCTTGAAAATATATCAGCTCTTCCATTTCTATGCCCACAATGTTTTTAATATAATTTTCGCTGACGTTAAGTAGTAAAATATAGTAACAACACAAAGTGAGTCTATGACCTTCAAAATAAGTTAATATGTTATCGAATTTGATTGTAATCCATTCACCATTTCGTCGAACAATAAATACAGTTTTGCCAACACCTGAAGATATTTCAACGGTTCTGATCCTTGCAAGTTGTAAGAGTCGAAATATTAGGTTATACTTGAAATCAGCCTTCCTTACGGTTTTTTTATTGTTCATGACGTCTATAGCTTTTATTTTTGAATATAATTTATTCTCAAACGAGTACATTAAATATTTTTTACGCTATACTTTCAGACATCATCTTGAAATCTATTCTCTCGCTTTACAAAAAAAAATGTACATATTTCTGAATGTGATTGCCTTTTAAACTTCTACCAAATTTATTTTTCTTCAACATAAATATACGTACATACATACATATCTACGATATTTCGCACAGTGTGATTTAAACGTAATAATTATTTTCTAATCTAATCAGTCACTTTTAACATCATATTTAACTTGCAGAGCATTCAAATCCGGTTTCGAACTCGACCCCGTTATGTGCCAAACGGTCGATCGCCAAATGCCCAATAACTGCCCGTGGGCCTCATGTGGCGAATGGTGTCTGACGCGCACAAGTGGGTTTTGTCCACAAATACATTCGGTGGTGCGACGTAACGGTACCGATATTCAACTCAATAATTGCACGCGAATCGCCAATACATCATGTGCCATGGTAAGTGCAGAAAATTCAATTTGGCTACTTTTTTTTGGATAAGTGGACAAAATAGACACTAGAGTGTGAGATTGTGAAAGAGTGAGAGAGTGGAGATATATGTCTGTATGTGAGTGTTTATATGTGTTTGCTTTTGACAAGTGCACAGTTTTGACATATACCCAAGTGCTAAAAAGTGATTTTCGAGTATTCATCGACGCCATTGATGGCTATTTCCGTACACACGCATATATTTGTACTTGTTTGTATATATGTACTCATATAGTGCCGGAAATGGATGACAGTTGGTTATTTACGTAGAACGGATTCGATGAATTTGTGTGTCTATTTGACGTCATCAAGAAAAGTTAACAAGCATTTCGTTCAATTTGGAGACTCTTGTGCTTCCGATGGTTCATTTAATTGCAATGCTCTTGAAAAAAATAACATTAGTCCTCCCTTTACGCCAAAAAAGTTTCAATAGTGAGGGTATAAATTTTAAGTTCCACCTAAGATGACAATTAAATGACTAAATTGTGACGACATTTATAATAAATAATTTATGAAGGTAAATTTGATTTGAATTTGATAAAAATGGGGTTCAAGGAAGGTCAAAGTCGAATATTGATACCTTCAATCGGTATTGGGGTAGCAGTTGTATCCGGAAATATTTATTAGATTTTGTACACAAATTAGCTTAGAAGAGCCTATCAATATACGTGCTTATGTACAAACATTCTTTTAGAGATTAATTTCGAAACGTCCTATATTAAAAGTATTAGAACTGTGTAAATATAAGAACTGAACAACTATATTTACACTTTTTCCATATTTAGACTAATTTTAATTAATTTAATTAATTAATTATTGAACAATTTTACTAAATTAATAAATACAATAATTTTTATAATTCCTAAACAGATCGACATGAATCGTTTGAATAAATTCAACTGCAATAATGGTACAGTATGTAATAATATTCGTGGCGTCTTCAACTGCTCCAATGGTAAGAAAGTCATATACAGAAACCCAGAATATATGTTAATTCTTTAAAATTACACACTAACATAATCAAATTCATATTTAAAAATAATTTTTTTTTTTCATTTTATAAAAGGTCACTGCAAAAACATGTCCGAATTCTTTTTGTGCCATCACAAACCCGATGGTCCAACCATTAACTCAGCAAAAGACAATACAAAATTGAATGGATTTTTCGAGTGTCACGGAGTACATTGTACGAAGATCAAGAAACCATTCACATGCGATCGTTACTGCACAAAGATTACAACGACATCGATCAATGTACTGTTGATGCATGTAAGTACATATATGATTAACGGTAATGTATTTTAATTTCTCAACAAAACTTATGATTACCCGAACTGTTTGTAGAGGTTATTCGAAACGAGAGAATTTTTACTGGAATTTCAGAATAAATTACGATCGAAAATAAGAGAGCATATACCGAATGAATCGTCTAAAAAACATAATAAATCTTTTAAAAGCAAAGGTTCTGCTTTAAAAATGCTCGGAAAAATAGGTATGGAAAGTTTGGTACCCAGTCCTGTGCCTTGCGGTGTTTTCGAGCAGTCAGTGTACCACTTAATAGTGCTCCCTTAGCTCAAACATGAAGTTATTCCAATCGGTCTTTCTGCCAAGGGTAACTTTGAACTTTTTTGTGAAATTTACCGTTTAGGTAATGTTGTTTCTCGGAACCTCTTCATTTGTTAATATTTAGATAGTTTTGGGGTGTAATCCTACAACATACTGCTAGAAAAACTTTCTTGAAACTGTTTGATCTGCATATGTCTTGTGCACTTCTGAATGTCTCTTTTGTCGCTTCTTATATCTTCTAATATGTGCTTAGCCTTAGTAGCAAACAACAGCTTTGCAAAAATAAATAAAATTTCTCTTTATTAGGAAGACACCGTGATCACTGCCGATTGCGACACCGCTGTTGCCTTCAATGAGGCACGCGGCAGCGAACATGGTGCAAAAATTGAACCCACCGAAATTTGGAAGGATGAAGATGGTCAACTGCTGACCAATTGCGCTACGGTGAAGCGAGAGGGCGACAAGATATTGTATGTGAAACTATCAAAATTATATAAGCAGAAAAATAATAAATTGATAACTTTTTTTTTTAATAAATAGCGCAACGGACTGCCTGAATGGCACCATATTGGAATCAGGCACACTGCCAAAACCATTCATGAATTTCACACAATTCTGGAGCATATACGCGAATAGCACACATTCCGTCGATCCGGAACAGCGTTTCCTACCCAATCAGGCCAATCTGACAATATACACGTGGAAAAAGTTATATATCAATTTGGAGGGCTGCGTAAACACATTGCGCGGCGAATGCAAGGATTTTGTAGCACGCTATGGCAACGATGGCGATAACAACACGGCACAGTCACGCTATCAGTGTTACTACAACAAGGTGAGCGCCAAATTCTTAGCTACAATATTAAATGAAATGAAACTACTCGTATAGTGCGTAAATGTGTGGTGGTTTAAGGGTGTGAGTAAAGGGGGAAACCGATTGAACTTCAATAGTTGGCTTTCCGGCACGCACATACCATTTAAAACTACTACTCATGTATTTATGATGATTAAATTCATTGGCAAAAGTATTATATTTCAAAACACAGGATCCAGCTGTGGAATTTGTGGTGGCTCGCTACGACTTGGACAAGGTCTATCGTGAGTTGTTGGTGTCGCTAATTGTGCCGATTGTTTTGTTTGTGGTTTCATCGATTTCACTTTGCATAATAACAAAATTGGTCAAGGTAATTACTAAATAACGGAATTACATACATATTTATTACTTATCAAGTAAATAACAAGTAACCGGATTAAATACTTGTAATTTATTCAAATTCGCATCTAAGGTTGGTGACGATGCCAAAATGCGCTGCGTCTGCTCGGGTGATGACTCTGACTTGGAAGATAACTATCGTGGTAAGCAACGCAAACAGGGTACACAAATATACGAAACGGACGACGATATGGATATTAGGCGTAGAAATATCGAGGTGAGTCGATTTGGAGGTTTTCGATTAATGCGTTAATTTGCTGTAGTTCTGGTTGAGACTTAAGTAAAACAATGTGAATTGAAACGCAGAGTTTAAAATAATACAAAATTAAACTCAGACTGTTATACAACGATAAATTAAACTTGAAATTTCTAAGCATCTAGACTAGGTAAATGTTTCAAAATTCGAAATCTTAAACTCGAGTGGAGAAACAGAGTTTGATTTTTACCGCTTACATTGTATGGCAACTATATCCTATAGTGGTCGGTTCTGAACAATGTATGTATTAATAGATTGTACGGTTAAGTTGGACAATAATCCGTGCCAAATTTCGTGAAGATGTCTTGTCAAATAAAAAAAGTTGTCTATACAAGAGCGTGATTTGGATCGATTAATTTGTATGCAGCCATATCCTTAGGTGCCCGATATTGGTGATTCCGACAAATCAGTAGACTCTTGGGAATAAAAGGACGTGTGGAAATTTTCAGATCGATATCTCAGAAGACTGAGGGACTAGTTCGCGTATATTTACACGGAAAGACGGACATGACTAAATCGAATCAGCTCGTCACGTTGATAATTTAATTAATGCCCTCAATTAATCAAGTATATTTGCAGTCTTTGCTCGAGAAATGTTGAGAGCCGCAGATATTTCTATATTTCTACCACGACGATTTCCGTATATAGTGTATATTAGTTAAATTTTCGACGTTATTGACATTGACAGATCCAAATTGTAAAAAACCGGTAGCCGAAATCCCACATAAAATGCGGTAGATCGCTGCTCGATATATTATTATTAAAAAATTAAGCAAAGTTACTTCATAAAGACACACAGTCAACCTTACCTTAAAAAACCAATCTACAGAATAAAATTACTTGAAAGGCGTATTTCATCTGTTTAAACTTAAAATAATATTAAATGTAATAATTAATTTTAGGAAGAACCACCCATCGACACACACGAGATGATCGGTAGTACAAAATCACTGATACCGTTAAGTCCCGCCACCGAATCGGGCACCAGTGATCGTACCTACGACGATGAAAAAGCTTCCAGATGTGACGCGCCCGAAAAGCCACTCGTCGAGCTTTAAACGATAATTTGACATGTAAGCGGAAATTCTAATATGCACAACTACATACACAAAATATTCATGCCGCCATCTATTAAAACAAGGAACGCCCAAAAATTCAGCAGAAGGCGTTGATGACATCATTTGTATTTAATATCGCTTCATAATTAACGATCATTTGATTATACGAAGACACCATAAAATACAATGACTGCCTTATACGAAAAAGAAATACAAATACAACAACAAAAAGGGAAAAATATATTTAGTGAATTAAGAAACAAAAAATTATTGTAAAACTTATGTTCGCAATATGTATGTGGTTATGTATTTACACAGATATTTGTATTTAGTTTACTGTTAGGCCAAAACCAAAAGAAGAAAGTACTAGAAACTTAAATTTACTAACAAAAAATTATATAATCTACTTGTACTTATTTTGAAAACTTTTTTTTCTAAACAATATCTTGAATAACATAAGCTTGATGTTTATTAAAACTCTGTATTCAAAAACGTTTCGCGTTTTGCATATGTGAATACGAAGATAAGTGAGTGTTTCTTTTGCAATATTGAACGAAAATAATTTGAATATATAAATCAAACAAGTTGTAGACTAATCGGAGCAGAATAGATCTCTGTGAAAAGTAGTAAATATTTCAATACTACTATGTAGCTCTAAGAGGACACACCTAGTGTGAAATTTTGAATCAAAATTTTTATTTTTTATTTTTTTCATATTTCGATAGGTTATACCCTTCAAAATAATTGTAGTTCTTCGTACAATAATCTAACAGTTTTTTAATGTGATCTAAAATTAAATTTTGACAGTCGAAACGTTTTTGGACATTTCCAACATTTTGGGAAAATCAACTTTTTTTAAAAGCCCTCATTGCATGACCGTAGGTCATTGTACCTACAATATCTTCTAGTAGAGAATTATTTTTTAAGTTTCATCCACGGAATAGGCCAGAATCATTGCAGCAATGGAATTTTTTAGCGCCGTCGGAGATTGAAAGTAACTCGAAAAATAATTAATTTTTTTCTGCAAACATTTTACTATGTATACATAAGTATACCCCTAAAATTTTGAAAAAATTTTAATTTCCCAAAAATTTAATTTTTTAGGCAGTCGCACTAGGTGTGCCCCTTAAGATCTGTGTAAAATCTTAAATAACTCTTTACTTAAGTTTTGACATCTTAAATGTCAACATTGATACAAATACTTAACTAACAATTGCGGAGATGTCGTCTTTAACTGTCAACGACGTCTACTTATATTTTATAACGGTAAAATTGTAAGGTAAATATATATTTTTATTTCGATAACTTTGCAAATGCGTCTTTAAACTATTTTCTCCTCTTATGGGAAAACAAAACGGTAATTAGAGTAACTAAGCAGGGTTCATTGAAACGTTATTTTCTAACAACGTTCACAAAAATTTGGAACTGCAAATAATTAATATAAGCAAATACTAGGAATAATATTTCAAATTTTCCAAACATAAAAACAAATATTTGTATCTGAAAAGCTTTACCTTATCTTAGAAAAAAATTTCTTCTAACATAAAAAATCCGGTAAATATATACTATCGAAAATGCATTTCTTATAAACCACCGAAGTGAAAATTAGTAAGGAAAATGATCACTAGATAAAAGATCAAATGTTAAGTTAAAAAAAAAAGTATATATATATATTATATATACATATATACGTATATACAAAAATAATATATAAACTGTAATAAGAAGAGCAACTGTTCGTAATTTACTTTATTATAAAAAATAATTATATCAATATTAAGAAAGTTTTGACTAATTATGATGACTCATGATATCAAAGGTTGAGTACTTGGTGGAGTAAAGAGCAAGGATTAACAACAAGTAGAAATGTGCGGTAACATCACGTTTAGCTACTCGGAAGTTCAACGCTGCTCCACTCTACGCTCCACTATGTGCTCAGCCTAAGCAACAAAGAGCGTTGGGCTTAATCAAAAGCATATGTAAACTGTATTCACACACGAAGACTTTTGTAGCCCAAACTGGTTTTTCCAGGCGAGGGGCCGACGAGGAAAGACGAAGGGACTTTTTGTTTTTGTTCATAACAGTTTGCTGCTACGCAATTTAGCATTCCTTTTCATTTTGAAATTTATTCCAAGGTTGCAATTGCTCTCTGTTTCAAATCAATATTTGTATAATGTTCGAAAACTTTCATGAAAAATATTTTTGTACACCGCGTAAATAAAGTGTTCAAGAATTTGAGAATGTGATATGAAAAGCAATTCAGAAAATTGACCGACTCGAGTTTTCATACTTGTTTCGTCCGCGTGAATGCAATACACAACACCCGAAGTGAAATTTCCGCTAATGAGCTACAAAAGTCTTCATGTGCAAACCCAGTCTAACGCATCATGTATAAATATGTATGTATTGTGTATGTGAGCATATAAACATGTACAATGGTGTTGTGTGAACACAGCCCTAGGCAACAAAATATGCACGATACCAAGTATTTGGTTGAGTATTAAAAGAACACACAGCTCAGTTACTAAAGTAGAGCGGCAAATGAATAAATTAACGGGAATTACAAGCGAATTACGATCGAACTACTAAATACTCGTACTAGCGCTATATGTATGTATGTAGATATTTATGTGCATTTAATCAAATGTTAACGCGAAGCTAATGCAAAAATCAACAATCACTCAGTCTGTTTTATGGAATTCAATCTACTTCTTAATATACACAACAACAGAAAAAAGAAAAAAACTTTGAATTTATATAAAATATAAAAATACAAACCTTTGTGGAAAACTACTAGTACTTTGTAATATAAAAATATAATAGTTTTAGTAAAAACATTTACGGCATTATACAAAGAGCGTGGATTTACTAATAAATTAGAAACTTATTTACTGTGAATATATTTATGTATGTGACGCGAAGTGTATGTATCATTTATTTACATAAGCATATTTATACTTTATGTAACTATGTATGTAGCTATCGATTAAATTTATTGTGGTATTTAAGAAATATACATGTACTATACATTACTGATGATTTACACTTTCTACAAACGCACTTTATGCAGCATTTATGCACCAAAAATTTATGAGCTAAAAAAATTAAACTATACACTCGTTAGATTTTGAGTAAGGCTATTATATGTATTTGATTTGAAAATCAAAATAACTTTATGGTTATGTATGCCTTATGTGTTAGATGTAAGATCATGAATAGCATCGACTTTCCTCATACTCTTAGCACTCTCATAAGTCTTCTTATTTCATGGTTTTATAGGTACTATTATGTACATAAATTAAAGTAGCTTAAGGGGTTTATCCACTTGCAAGTAAGAAAACACGCGTTTTTCTGCGGTTTTTTTTCGTTTTTTTGAAGTTTCCCTTCATCCGTAACCGATTTCCAGAAAGATCTCCAAAATTTTTCAACTTTAAATGATCTCAAATCCCAGAAATTTGTTGTTGTTAAATTTTGAGTTTTGACATAATATCTGTTTGCCAAAAAAAAGTCCATTTTTGTCAAAAAACTAACACTTCAAGGTAGCTTATAAATCCAAATTATTATCACAATATTATTTTTATTTAAAGAGTTCGTGTGAAAATTTAAAGTCGATCGTCATAGTCGTTTCGAAGAAACCGACTCTGAAGACAGTGTTTCGAGAAAAATGTGATTAAAGGTTTGGAAGGCGATTAACTAAGTTAAAGAATTCTTACAAATACAGTACTATCTCCGAAAATATTTGCCGAACCAACATTAAACTTCGGAGAATATTTTCAGTTATAACATGTGTACATTCGATATATAACTATGTAGAACAATTGATTTTTGGAAATTGACAAGTGAATATAACTCCCTAAATCAATTTAAGTTCACATAGACAGTTTGAGTTATTTTGAGCAACATATTCGTTATATTTCTGTTGTATTTCATCAAAAAAAAAAAAAAAAATCAGAGATGAAAGCTTAAAATCGCATAAAAAAGGAAATATATACCTACTGAAATATCGGTCTGAAACATTTTCATATTTAAACTCTAGCATATACATGTGTACAAACTTGGTTATTCGCTTTCAATTCAACTCCCTGCTACAGTTTACATTCATCAAAATTTGTTTACAACTCCATTGAATATATTGAAAGCAAAAACTTCCTAAAAAGCTCTGATAGAAATATCAAGAACCTCATTAACAACAGATTTAATAAAAGAAAGTTTGTACATATATGTGTGTGTATATGTATACAGAATTAGTTTCTACGCTGCTATTCATAAGCCCATATATACTAAGGTACTTACAAACAAAGATCCTCTACTTGAAACAATGTAGTAAACTGTATTTGCTATGTCCTCACTTTTTTTAAGATCTTTACATAATAATTAGCTAAATTAAATAATATAGATTGAAATAGTTCTAATGCGAAATAAATAAAAAGGCAAAAGAAACGAATTTTGCGAATTTCATTTAGTTTGAAAATAGCGTACATGGTGTGACAGAAATAAATTCACCGATTAAATATCTCTTAATAAGTAAATATATATGTATTTGTATAAAATCATGAGTTCAGCGGTACAGTGAGTTTTTTTATGGATTGATCGAAGCTTAGGCAAAAGGTGGGAAGAGGAGTCTTCTTTAATAGGCTCTCTATGAACTCTAGCTTTAGACCAACAGTCCGCTGCAGTGCATTAAGGTAGCAGTAGACGTACTGCTCCGAGGTGATGCTTTCTTCAAAGAGATGCGCATTCACAGCCATAGCAGAGCTGCAAAACTGGCCTTGAGCGCGCTCAAGACTTGTCATGGAGGGTTTGTGTTTCTTTATCAACAGCATCAAGTTAATTTGCTATCCGTCTTGTTTTGGTGCCGGGTCACCGGTAGACTTAAAGAGCTTTGTCGATCTACAAGGGTATGATGATTCACATCTAAGATATGGTGCGAAGATCAACCCTACAACCGAACCTAACGTCAACACTCATACTACAAGAATAATTCTCAAAAGGTAAAAAATAATATTTACTAAAATGGCTTTCGAAATTCCATTACATTCGTGTAAATAAGGCTACTGAGTCCGAAAATCTCTAACATGTTTTCTATCATGTCATTTTTTTAATCACATACTTGTAAATATGCGGCGCTGGGAAAAAAATTATTCATGAATTGTAAATCATATTCTCTATAGCCGAAATTCTGTAGAGGTGTATAATTTCTCCTTTTTTGTTTTGCTACTACTGGCTTAAGGACGAGTGATTACGAAACTAGTTAATGAATTTCGAAATCTTAAGCAAGAAGAGGGGTATGGACACCGCTTACCTTCAATTGTTCCTGTCTGCGATAAGCTTCGGCCATCATACGTTTACGCATATCCTCCGTGAGCACAGCTTCCCGACCGGGTGGTCCTTCGCCTTGTTTATTTATTTTAACCACAACCTTAATTAACACGATAATAAAAAAACCCGAACAATTATCTAGCACTATTCATTCGTCACTACTTACTTTGGTCTTATCATTTTTGCCGACGTATTTATATAGTTTTTGATCGGGCAGAATTTGCTTGCCAGCGAACCACAACTGTGCCTTGACTGGTTCGATGACTTCGCGTGAGGCTTGTGTGCCGCTCAAATCCTCCGTATTGTTGAATTCCATACGTATGATATCGTGCGGCGGCAATTGCATGGGATAAACAATAGTTATGGCGCCGCGTAATAAATTCAAAGCCTCGGAAACGTTTTTCAAATTTAACGACTGTCGCGCCGCCACTAATTTCTAAAACAATTGAGGTAACATAAAGTTAACTTAAATGAAACCGCGAATGACAGTTAGCACTTTTACCTTATCGATGAAACTCTTGGCGTCCTCCATTGCCTTCTTAAGTATCTCACGCATTTTTTCTTGCGGCTGCTGTCCATTACGACGACCTAGTGGGTCTTTATTCGTAACGAAACCACCAGCCGGTATGCATTTCTCAGCCCAAATATCCTTCAATTTCAACTCAAGAATTTGTTCATCGGTCAGACCAACCATTTCGGCTGGCAACATGGTGCCATGTTCTATGAGTTCCTCAATTTCCGAACAAACGCGATAGACTTTCAAGCGTCCGTTATAAATCTCAGTGATATCCCGTATCACATTGGTGGTATCCTCATCGACGCTAGTCTCGAAAATGAACAGATTTTCGTCGCCGCGTTTAACTTGCAGTAGCACCATTTCGCTTTTTCTAAATTAAATCTTTCTTATGCAAAGGAGAGTGCTTTAATTGACGTACACTAGGTTTGGTTGAGTTTACGCAATAAATCGATGTATAAACAATTGTTTTACACAATTTTTTTTCAATGACAAATATTTCAAATTAAATTTCGAACTAAAATTCTGGAGATCGGCAAACAACGTTACTACAACACATTTCCAACTTAAACGGTGCTTTCAAAATCTGACGTTTGTTACAAAGTAACTCATATAACCGTAGCGTCCTGCTATTGTTAAATCGATTACAATACGACTCAAGTTACTATAGTAGCTGTATAACTGGGAACAAAACGACCATACTTGGCCTTTGTTGTTGTGGCAACAACTTTCGGTATTCTTTAGCAACTTTTACGAAATTTTGTTGGTACAAAATTTTTAATGCAATAAGGTGTATAAATTTCGAATAATTTGGAGAATTTTGAATATTTTGGAGAATTTTCGAATATTTTGGAGAATTTGGATAATTTGGAGAGATATTGCAAATACCGGTCTTAGTTGTTAAAAATAAATATTTAAATAAGAAAATAAAAAACAAAAAAGAAAACCGTTAATATAGTGTACATACAGACGAACATGGCTAAATCGACTCAGCTTGCCACACTGATCATTTATATTTATATTTAACAGCGTCCGAACTTTTGGGTGTTACAAACTTCACGAAAAACTTTGTAGACCCTGTTCAAGGTATACAAAATAGTTTATAAAACATACTCAACGAAATTTCTAATAAATAATATTGTAAGAAATTGTGATAAAATTACAAAAATACAATTTTCTTTACAGCGCAGCGCATAGAAAAGGCAATATATAAATGCAAACAATTGTCTTCTATACCACAGCTGTCATTTATCGACGTCAATGCATCTCTATGCATTTATTTTCAACCTTCAAGCAAAATTAATATTGAAAAATGGTTTTTGTTTTTGTTTTTGTTTTAATGCGCTTTAATACCCATCCCTGTCATATGTACAAATCACATAAATTATGGTATATTTGAGCATTACACTATGCATACACATATAATAAATATTTTAAAATCTTTAGATAATACATAAAGCTATTTTCCACATTAAATGATTGTTGTTGATTTGCATTTTTTATTATTTTCTTGCAAAACTATAATGCATTCTTATAGATCACTTCAATTTCCAACATCTGATTGCACTGTTTGATGGGAAGTATTTAAGTAACAAATTTTTTTAAATAATAACAATTTTAATAAATAAATTTACTTAAACTTAAAAACTTAGTTTTAGCTACTTCAAGAATTATCTACAACACTAATATAATTTCAATGTTTTGATGAGGTAAAAAGGGGGAAACCATTGGTCGGCGTTAGTGTTGAAAAATGCTTGTTAGCTCCTCTATGGTATCAACTATGTGCTAAATAAACACTAGGCGTACAACATTGATAATTGGTTTTGCTTTGCTCTTTTGTATCATCTAACAAACACAAGCGCAGCGGCAATTGTTTCACATGTGTATTTATTACCGTAGCACTTTGCGAAAATTCTCCATCTCGAAAATGCTGTTTGAAAGTCTAATAAAGAAGAAGAAGAAAAAACAATAAGTAATGCTTACACTATCATTTCATACTGTTACAAGGCAGTACTTACCGTCCAAATGCGTTGAATAGCGATACAATTTCTGTACGTGAGAGTTTAAATAACGGATTCTCCTCTATATGCGGTCGTTCCCACAAACCACTCTCTGTCGCCATATTCAACTTTTCGGAGTAGAGAATCTTCAGCGCTGTACCAAGGCCTTGAGTCTGTAAATTTTTAATGCAATATATGTTTTTAGCAATGAAAATAAATATTTTCGAATATCTATGGAAAAGGTATTTTTGCTCCTGTATGGAGAACTTTTTTATTTGACAAAATATTTTCACGAAATTTCGTATAGATCATTGTCCAAGGCGACGTTACAATCTACGAAGAAATTTTTCACATCGGATCACTATATATATATATAGCTGCCAAACGAACGGATCGATCAAAATCAGGTTCTTGTAGGAAAATTTTTTTATTTATCAAGGATATTTTAGCTTCGGTGCAACTTATGATGCTTATTGCGATAAATATTTATGAATCTCCAGTAAAAATAAATTTTTGCTTTTTTACTGCTTATTACATACCTGCAGTTTGCCCCATAGTCGGCATTTATCACAACCCACACAATCCATTATTCGGGAAATATTTCGAAATTTTTCTTTGTATTCATGTTTGAACTTAAGCGATGTCACGCCATTCGAAAACAGCACGTTCTCATTGAAATGTGAAGAAAATGATCTGTGGCAAAGATATAAAATATAATGAAAATTTTCATACAGCATAAACACACACAAGCCAATGCTACCGCCTACTTACTCTATAACAGATAGTAAATCATTTATAGCCAATTTGACTTCATCGTCTTCCTCAGCAATACCCGTATAGTACTCCTCGCGCCGCAAATATGGCGCCGCTTTAGCTAATGCACGCAATTCCACCAAATATATGAAATAAAGATTTCGCAACCAATGCGGTCCTTCACTATTTGTTGTCTCCGGACTAAAACGTCGTTTAAACTCCTCTACATTTGGTCCCCAGATACCTTGAGGATCCAGAAAATCTTTCGATTCAGATAGCAAATATTTGGCTGATAAATGTATATTGATGCTTGTATGTAGACCCGAAATAATGCGATAAAAGGCGCGTTGCTCCAAGCATACATCATTTAAATCGAGTTGTGGTATGAAATCCGAGAGTGATTTTGATTCGTTTTTACGTCCAAAACAGTTCTCCATATAAATGCTACGCCATATGCGATGAGCGGATTCACCTCTGTAGCCCGTATAACGTTCGGGGTTTATCAGTAAATCTACATACTGAGAACCATTGTTTTCATCCTTCAAAATACAAAAATCTTCCTCCGCTTCATCGTGCTTTGCCCAACGCTCAAACTCACGATGCGCCTGATCGCTAAGACTTGTGTCCAAATAACTCAAAACGCTATTGTAATCCTCGGCTTCAGAGCATTCCGACGAGTGTGCCTCTTTGGTGTACTGTTCAATAAAAATAATATGTTTTCATTAGAAAATTTATTAATATACGTAGACGGGATGTTAGTAAGATAAGAATAATACTACATAAGTATATATGAATGATATGACCTTAATAAAATCACAGATTTCATTAGAAATATAACCACATTGTTTTAGCTCAGATAAACAAAGAATTCCGCCCCCAATTATATAATATTTTATACCCTGAAGAGGTTTTATTAAGTTTGCCACGAAGTTTGCAACATCCAGAAAAAAACGTTAAAAATAAATCTCCGAAGAAATCGTACAGATCGGACCTCTATAGCATAAAGTAAATAACCGAGTTACTGCAAGAATTGATAACGCGTAAACGAAACGAAAGCGCATTGTTTTTGTACAAACTTATAATAACTACTAATGTTACACGATTACTTTGCGTTTACGTGGCATTAACAATTTTCAACAAATCCACAGTAATTAGATAAGCCTGTAACGCTGAGTTGGCTTATAATTAACACATGTATGTAACAGATTTAACTATTAATGAATATAAATAGCACACAGCACATTACGCCCACCTTAAAAGCTGGAGATTTTGTATTTTCATTGGTCTCAATTAAACCTTTAGGTATATGTTGTTCATCACAATTTTGCACTTGACAGAAGCGTATGGCACATTTGCTATCATCCGGCCAGAAAGGACACGTATTTTTCAAATTTACTTTATAAAAACGGAAAAAGTTTTTCACCAACAGCGATTTGAGACGTGGATAAATCTTGATGTTATTAAAATGATCCACAGTGTCTACGGTGCAACTGCAATCGTTTATTGAGCCCTTCAACTGTTGAGTAAAATTTAATTAGCAAAACGAAAAAGTTAAATTAAACTATTTTTAATGGACAAACCTCACAGAAGCAGTTTTTACTTGCATCCAACTCATCGTAGGCGGTAAAGTATCCACTACTATGACGCACCCACAGTATAAAGCACAGCGTCAGCGTTAAGTACCACGCTCCATCGCGTATCAATCGCTTTGTAGCCATTAGTCTGCCGTATTCGCTCACCTTTTTCAGGAGACCTTTTACTTGCCTATTAAATTATTTTGCAATTTGTACGGTATACTTATTTGCAAATACCTTACAGCATTCACCAAACAGTAGTCGTCTCCGCCCCTCGTTGTTCCCTTATAAAATCGTAAACAACTTTCAGTGAAAGTTCAAATGCACCAGTCACTATTATCTTGTTTTAGAAATTGTTTCACTTCACGTTTTGTAAATGTGAGAATGGGAACTTTTCATTTAATTATTTTCGTATATATGTATGAATTTCGTAATATTCACACGCGCAGCAAACTGATGCAATTCAAGATCCGTTGGTAAATAATTTTTTGTTAGCCAATATTTTGATGTTTTCGTGATGCAAACAACGTAGACGCTCTATTCACTTACGTGTCTTTTTTGTTGTTTTTATTTGCTATATTTTTGTTCCACTCAATTACGTTATCAGCCTGTCAAATGTTAGTAGTGCCATTCGCCGGCCAACTGTAAAGTGCTGCCAGAATCAGAAGTTGTGGAATTTTCATATCGTGGTGAACTATGGTGGATTACGCTCAATAATGAACCGGAAGTGAAGGAATTTGAATTCAAATGAATAATAGCGGAACGATAATTAAAAAAAAAGATAATTAAAAATTATGTGTGAATATGTAATATCTTCAGTTACTGACAATAAATATAATCAATTAGATGGTTCCAAAATAATTAACAATCTTTATTATTTGTCCAATAAATTTTGGATACGTTTTGTCAACAATATTCACCTTTTAAAACACCATTACAGTAGCTCTGTTACATTTTACTATTAACTTTGTGTTTAAATTAAATAAAAGTATGCTTTTGTTGTCATGACAAAAACATAGAACCGAGGAATAAAAACATCAAGAAATGAATTTCTATTTAAAGTTCTCTGTAGGTATCCAAAGAGAATCGAAAACTGTTGCCCGTCGCCTTGTAGAAAATAATCTCTTCAGAAGGTTGCCCGGAAAGTTCCAATGTTGACAAAAAAAGACAGAAGAAAATCGGATTGCTTTTGCTACAACGCATACCAATTAAAGCGTTGAAGAAAATGCAAAAACAGTGGCGTAAGATCGTTTGGTCTGATGAATCTAAATTAAATATGGTAGGTAGCGATGAAAAAGTTTAGGTTCGATGTCCGAAAAATGTTGAAATGGATCCCCGATGCACGACAAAAACTTTGAAACACGGAGGTGGTAATATAATGATATGGGGATGTTTTTCGTGGTACGGAGTTGGACCGCTGTTTTGGATTCGGGAAATGATGGACCATTGCCACTAGCTTAGTATTTTAGAAGATGTTATGCTTTCTTATGTTAAACGGAACATGCCTTTAGTTTGGCAGACTTGGCTAAATGATCAAGAAATCCATGTTCTGACTTGGTCGGCGCAGTCTCCGGATCCGGATTCAATCCTACAGAAAACCTGTGTAAGATTGTAAAGAAAATGTCGGTACCCATTAAACCATGTAATAATGAGGAACTATGGGAAAACTTCCCCTAAAGCACTAGTATTATCGCTGCCGTACTCGCAAATAAAGGTTTTGCAACATAATTCTAACTTATATGCAATTTTAGTTATAATAATCTACAATTTACGAGTTTTGGTTCCAGGATTCTATTTTATTGTCAATTGTAGCTCCTGACAGTTCCTTTAAAAGTTGTCTGCTGATAATACAAAAATTTAAGAATTTAAACATTTCAAAAGCCAAATTTTATTAACTATAAAAAATAATTGTTTCCTCCTAAGAACTGTGGTAACACTTTTTTTTTGTAAATAGTTGAGCATACAATTTTGTTTTTATTCTGTTGTCAGTAACTGTATGTAAAAAAAAAAATTACAAAAAATCTATTCTAAAAATTTCTTGTTATTAATATTATAAATATGTAATTATATTTTTCGTCACAAAATTTTTTTTGTTCTAGTTTTATTAATAATTTTATTTAATGTAACTTTTTATTGATAATGGAGCGATTTCCAAAACATATGAATCAACAAATTTTGCTCGCTGTGTATTGATGATTACTCTAGTATAATATATACATATATTTTGTCTGTTCGATTAGCTTAATTCCAGGAATTTGTGAATATTACAAAAATCCAAGAATAGCTGGTTAAATTACATATTATTTCTAACTGATATAATACTAAGAGGGTGTATATGGTTATGTATATATATATATTCTATATACATAAATTGTATGTGCATAGTATGTAAGTAGACAGCATTTACTTAATTTACATGCTTTCACTGTCATTATTTGCTTTCTTCATCAATCACATTTGATAATTAATTACTAAAAATATTGATTATACCACCTTTGTACAGAGTTGATCGGCAGTATGTTACTATAACCGCGCTTATCGTTAGCCCTGCAGTGATCGTTTGGGGGAAATAATGTCCTCGCACATATACACGACATTATGCAAATCTGCTTGAAAGGAAAACCCCTTTGAATTAATTCAGTATCGTCACTCCAAGTATGACACCACCAATAAAAAAGAGAGATCTTAGGTTATGTCAACTTGTAGGACATAAGAAATGATAAACACGTGAACTTTCAACCCTCTTACTCTTACATACCGCTAAGTAAATTTTTAAGGTTTGTATATGTCAGCATGTACAACTCTATGCAAATGAGAGGTAAGGAGATTTACGAAATAAATTAAGGGAATGATTTTGGCAAAAAAACGAGGTAATACTCAGGATGCACATACCTTAAAGGGACTAAGAAAGTGTGTGTCTGAGACAGCAAGGATCCGGATAGGTATTTAATACGAGTATTCTTGTTTAGAAAGAAAATTAGTACATGGACATAAATTATCAAAGTTTTATTCCGATATCTTCATTGGAGCTTGATTTATATAATATAAGAATATCAAAGTGATTCAATGAACTAAATTTGGTTGAAATTGGTCAAACAGTTGGTGACGTATAAGATTTCACCTAAAAGTGAGCGACGCTGAGCCCATCATCCAATTATTATATCAATTTTTTTAGTTAACATTGTGAGAAAATCGAAGGCTAAATTTTATAAATCGAATATAAATATGTCTAAGCAATGCGGTCGATTTTTAAAAATATCTAAAAGAAACTTACATTAATATTTAAACTGTTACATTACAGTTTTATAAACATAACAAATTTACTCACCTTTCTTATTCCCAATTTTGTAGTCAAAACTTCAATTACTTGTCATTGAGCAGCCGTTCTTCCAAAAATTCAGCTACTGGAAAAATGTTTCAGTTTCTCATCAAAATTGTACGTCATATTGAGCTCTCAATTTCTACTTATTAAGTATTTTGTTTCAAAAGAACATACCTATATTCAGAAAATACTGACTAACAGTGAATTAAAATTAATAAAATTAAAATTTACGACAATTTTTTTGTCTCGTTTCTCTTTCTAAAGTAGGTTTGACAGAAGAACATATAAGTTTGTGAACTCAAAGACGAAAAAAGGAACAGAGAATATTTACAACTGCTAAAAATGTTTCGCATTTCGCTTCCCTTCTGAGATCCCCATCATTCTTGTCAAATAATTGCACATTGCTGAACTTAGCTTAATTAGCACAATCAGTGTCGAAAAGCTTGTGTTAACCTCTCCGTACAAGTGATGATTTTTTCTACCGGAACGTAAAGGCAATACAGATATTAATATACCGTTTGTTAAATGAGAAGCTTATGAACAACACTGCAACTCCAAATTTTAATTTTATCGACTTAATTTTTTTATTAATACAAGTAAATATTCAAATATTCAAATCCGACACGAAAATGCATATCCAACAATTTCGTAGCAAACAAAAATTTATAAAAACTGTTTTCTTCATTTTATTTTCCCTTTTATTAGCTGATATTGAAAGGAAAAAAAGCGTAGCTTCACAAGGAACTGAAAAGTTCTCACGAGAAAGTGAAATTAAAAATAGCATCAAATGTCGTGCTTTGTAAAAAAAAAAATTTAAATCTAAAAAAATATATTAAAAATGAAAGGGTTTCAGCATTTTTTTTCTAAATACCTTAACTAATGTAGAAAAAATTAAAAAATAAGAATACTTATGTGACGCTCCGCCAAAACAGCATCAATGCAAGCAGCAATCGGATCATCAACATCAAACCCTTTTGTTTAATCAAATCAGACAATGCGCGCAAGAAGACCGACGAAAGGACACACACAAGGACGCGTAGAGCGAAGAAGCACCAGACAAAAAACTCATCTGCATACAGAATCGCCTAAGGACGAAACGCACACACACATACAAGCGTACATAGGCAAAGGACTGCCACCACCACCAGCGCCTAGACAGCCACTGAGCATCCTTGCCGGCGCTGGCATTTATCTATTTGCCTAGGTAAACGCTTAACTTGATAAATATGAGTATTTTTTTCGTAATTTTTTATTTGATTTTTCACTTATTTACCACTTTCGGTTGTGTTGTTTGAATTAATTTTTTTTTTTTTTTGCTTTGATAATGCTGCTTTTGGTCTTGGATTTTATTTACGCTAGCGTGGCGACGGCGATTTATTCAAATTGCTTGTAAGAAAAGCGTGTGAAGATGAGTTTCGAATTTTTTTTTTTATCATTTTTTTTTATATTAAAATTTTCTACTTTTTTATGAGTATTTTATTAAAGGCTGAGAACTTTTGACATTTTGAAGAATCGCTGCATCTGTTGTTTAACATTAGGTGCCTGAAAAGAGTAGCTGCTTTTCGAATAAATTTTGATTTTCAAATGATTCGCGTTGTGTAATAACTTGAGAAAGGCGGGAAAATAGCGGTAGGGAATAAAGAAAAGTCTGAACTGCCGAGTGCTAAGGCGCGGTTTCTGGCGGTTTATTACAGTTATATACATATATGTATAAGTACATAAAAGTGCTTATCTAAAAAAACTGTTGTAAAAAACAGCTCGCTTACGTCTTAAAATCTTTTATAATAGTAAACATATATTATGTTGTTTAGAAATTTGCATGCAATTTCGCACATAATACTTTAAGCTACTCGAAAAGTTTCCACTTGCCAAAAACCAACTAATGAAGTTCTCCACGCAGCCTGCATAATGAAATATATGGATATACGAGTGCAAATTTATCCATTTATTAAAGGAGCAACAGCTCGCTGGAAGATCATTTTTTGGCGATCCTGCAAATATTTGAAGTTCTCACGCAAAAGTTTTACAACATGTCAGGAATTCATTAGGATTCTCGTTAATCTTGTAATAAGCACGTACACAACAAAAGACGCTGCGGAGGAAAGAGAATTAAATGCATAAAAAACGACCAACTAATTTGCATACTTTCATTCGAGCAAAAGCAAAAAAAAAATAATTATAATATTTGCAAAAATTATGGTGCGAATGCAAATTGTGTGCGAACAACACTTAAAATCGCATTTAAATTCGATTTGCATAATCTGCACACACACGCACACATACAGAACGCTGAAGAAAATTGCCAATTCAGCAAACAATCACTCACAGCAAATGAACACATAACAGCACTCCCCTTGCCGACGGTACATCCTTTTTGCACTCCTTGTTGGCTTAGCACTGATCTTTTAATGCCTACATACACGCATACATACAAGTACATATGTACGACCACGTGACAAGACAGCAGATCAGCAGATTGCGATCGATTTCAGCACCTTCGTTTGCCAAAAACGTCGAATACCCCGAAGTGCCTCAAGAT